CCCCCTCATGTTGGGAGCGGAGCAAATTAGTTCGTCCTTTGTTACTCGTCAAGAATTTGATCGCAAATAAATGGAATTAATCATTTTTTTAACACTGCACAACCTCTAGATAACGATAAAGATTGGCATTTCATGACTTGTTATCAACTAGCTGTCAAAAAATCGTACTCAGGTCGTGATCGGACCACTGTTAACAATCGATTCTCATCAACTACAGTTATTAGTGAGAATCATCTCAATTTTGTCTTACAGTGACCTCTATCTAAAAATAAACCTAAAACACTTAAGAAGTAATCCTTTTGTCTCCTCTTGGTTGACTTTCAAATTATCTCCATAGTAAGTACAATTCATCTAGCTTAGAAATGGCCAGAAAAGACAAACCTTTAGCCTTGGATTGCTTTCTTAGCATATACAAAATTGTCTGTCTTTCATACTTTACAATAAAATGCATCGTAGTTAGAAGCGAGAATCGCAAATTAAATCTATGGACCTCAAAGAATAAAGATTTAAGGAACCGCTATCGAAAAATAAGTGTCTCAATATTGGCATCTTAAAACATCTATCTCGTGTCCTTAGTGTTTTTAATCCTCATCTTTATTATTTTGTTCCTCTATTTATCTACCTTATGAGTCTAGCGAGTGACTCACGAAATCAAAAGAATAGTATTCAAAAGTAAATAGTTTACTGGAACCAAATTAAAAATGTCTGTACAAATTATACCAGTTTCCTTTTTCGGCCAGAGCACAGGTAGAGGAGTCAAAGTAACACCAGTTTCCAGTTTCAAACACAGCGCAGGAAGAGGAGTCTTTGTCTCGGATCAGTTTCTGCTCTGCCTCTTGTCCGCCTCGTTCTTATCATCTGTCAGTTCTTCTTTCCTGAAAAAAAAATTTGTGTAAAGAAGGAAGTTAAACGCACGTCACGATAGAGGAACAATTTCGGCCTTAGAGCAAATGGACCAAATTGCCACTGACGAGAAACCCTAAAAAGAAACCTTGATCAGTTTTCTTCTTCGATGCTATTAGCTCAAGGCTAAGTAAAGGATACCAGCCTAAACCCAGTGAAGTCACCTTCACACTATTATCTAGATGTTGTTTTTCACTTCTTTTCACCAAGAAACCTCAACAACTCAAAATTTTTTATCTACAAAAGTCCATTACTCGTCTACCTACTTCGTCATTTTTGCTCACTTCAAACTTAAATTTGTAGCTTAAGTGATAAATATTTTGCGCACAAAAATTAATATTGAGCCATGGCAAAGTAGTTTAACTAACCGTCTAAACCTTTCCTTTGTGTGCTGTATGAAATCTGTTAATCACTAAATTTCCAAGGTGTTTGGCTCCAAAACACCGTTCACAACGAAATCATAAAAAACCAGCATAGGTTACATTATACAAATTACTCATTAAGCACAAGCTTACCTTAATTTTTTTAAGTCAAATGTCACGTTGTCTCCCATCAACACAAACGGAGCCCACTGACAAGGTTCGGTGAAGCCTTTGCGCCTCAACCACTTGATGGCCTGGTGAAGGGATTCACTAGTACTTTTTCCAGCAGCCAGATGTTCGTAGAAATGATTCATGAGCTCCTCTGTTGCTTCGTCTTGTATGGCCCACGATGCTACCAACACCGAACGTGCACCGGATGCTAAGAAAGCCCGAGCGATTCCAATGACTCCTTCCTTTTTAAACGTTCCACGCCCACTGTGGCAACAGCTGAGTACTACCAGTTTAGCTCGCAACCTAACCTTCGAAATGTCAGACATTTTCAGAAGGTAGTCTTCTTCTTTTGGAATGCTGTCCAAGGCACAGTTAGGGGAAAGGGTAATCTCCCCTCTATCAGCGTTACCATGAGCAGCAAGGTGTAGTAGGCTCACTGAATGAATTGCTTGAAGTACCGCCTTCTTTGTTGCGTGCTCTCCTAACAAAGGCTGAACCCCCAGGAGTCGACCAACCATCTCTGCTTCCTTTCTTGCACAAGGCAACGGTTTCAACTGTAAGGTTTCTCCTTTGTATTGCACTTTGACAGCCATGGGATCACCCACCACTAGTGCTCCAGTCTGACTGTGATAGTCCGCTGGACATTCCTGAATGAGCCCGAGAGTTGTCAAAGAAGGAACGATTCGAATGCGGTGAGTCTCTGCTAAATACTTTCCAGTTGTTTCGTCTTGTAGGGCAGCAAAAGGGACTCTGTATGAGCAACTCTCTGGCACAATGATGATTTCAGGCTCTGTAAGTAGATCTTGTACAGGAGTGATAATCTGTTCAAAGCACAACTGAAGAATTCTTTGGGTTTGGGCTTTGGCTTTGGTCTGGTCAACTCGCACAGTTGCTTGGCTCTCTTCATGGGGCATGGGAGTGTCGTCATCCAGAGATCGATCCTCACAATTCTCATTCATAAGAACGCCAAAGCTGGAAGCACTTCTTTTAAAAATCTCCTCCACATCACAAACTGATGCAGCGATGAGAGCGTCGATTTCCATTTCGGGGCTCACTCTATACTTAATGTTTCCGTTTGCTTTCAAAACCCACAGATGAACATGCCGTTCACAATATGAAATGTACAAAACATCACAGCTTTTTTCTTTATTTACAATGTTTTCGATCCCAAACCATGATGTTGAATCAGTTGAGATGTGGCTTTCAACTGAGAGCTTCTCCGCCATTAGTTCCACAAGGCCTCTAGCTCGTCTCAGCTCCTCCACATAAAGAGCATCTCGATGGCTTCCAGTGACGCAAAGCAACTGACTGAACAACTTGTAGGGAAAATTACCGTGCCCTTCTAAGAGAGATGTTTTTAGGTCATCATTTCCTGCGAGGAGACTTCGCATCTCTTCATATTTTTTCATACATTGAGAAAGATACAGCATTGCCTTCTCTACCTCTGATTGCGATATCTTTAACAAGGTGATTCCGAGGAGGCTTTCAAAGTCAGTCATAATGTCTCCAATTTTGTTGCTTATCAAGTGCGCTTTCTCGAAGTACTTTTCTGATTCGTTATAATTGCCGAGCGATAGAGACACATGACCAAAGTGTAGGTACGTTCTTCCTTGGCTTTTTCTATCGCAAATGTTCTTGCTAATGGCAAGGGCTTTGCCATTGTGTTCTGTAGCCTTCTGGTAATCATGAAGCGAAAAAAAAAAACGTGCCAGGCCTGCGTGGCACTCTCCTTCACATTTCCTGTTTCCACTCTCTGTGCTGATGGAAAGCGCTTTGTCGAAATGCTCTTTAGCCTGCTTATTTTTCCTAAGTGATAGAAACACAGCTCCAAGATTTATATAGCCTCTCCCTTCTCCTTCCCTGTCACCAATTTCTACCGCGATGGCAAGTGCATTCTCGTGATATTCTTTAGCCTTTTGATATTCACCGAGTGATTGAAACACGGCTCCAAGGCACCCGTAAGATGTTCCTTCTCCGTTTTTGTCGCCAATTTCTTCTGCGATTGCAATTGCTTTCTCTTGATATTCTTTAGCCTTTTGATATTCACCGAGTGATTCAAAAACAGTTCCGAGTTTCCTGTAAGATTCTTCTTCTCCTTTTCTGTCGCCAATTTCTGTTGCGATGGCAAGTGCTTTCTCGTGATATTCTTTAGCCTTCTGATATTCACCGAGTGATTGAAACACGGCTCCAAGGCACCCGTAAGATGTTCCTTCTCCGTTTTTGTCGCCAATTTCTGCTGCGATTGCAATTGCTTTCTCGTGATATTCTTTAGCCTTTTGATATTCACTGAGTGATTCAAAAACAGTTCCGAGTTTCCTGTAAGATGCTCCTTCTCCTTTTCTGTTGCCAATTTCTGTTGCGATGGCAAGTGCTTTCTCGTGATATTCTTTAGCCTTCTGATATTCACCGAGTGATTGAAACACAACTCCAAGGTTCCCGTAAGATGTTGCTTTTCCATTCTTGTCGCCAATTTCTGTTGCGATGGCAAGTGCTTTCTCGTGATATTCTTTAGCCTTCTGATATTCACCGAGTGATTGAAACACTCTTCCAAGATTCCCGTAAGATGCTCCTTCTCCGTCTTTGTCGCCAATTTCTGTTGCGATGGCAAGTGCTTTCTCGTGATATTCTTTAGCCTTCTGATATTCACCGAGTGATTGAAACACAACTCCGAGGTTCCCGTAAGATGTTGCTTTTCCATTCTTGTTGCCAATTTCTGTTGCGATGGCAAGTGCTTTCTCGTGATATTCTTTAGCCTTCTGATATTCACCGAGTGATTGAAACACAACTCCGAGGTTCCCGTAAGATGCTCCTTCTCCGTCTTTGTCGCCAATTTCTGTTGCGATGGCAAGTGCTTTCTCGTAATATTCTTTAGCCTTCTGATATTCACCGAGTGATTGAAACACACTTCCAAGCGCCCCGTAAGATGCTTGTTCTCTGTCTTTGTCGCCAATTTCTGTTGCGATGGCAAGTTTTTTCTCGTGATATTCTTTAGCCTTCTGATATTCACCGAGTGAATGAAACACACTTCCAAGGTTCCCGTAAGATGCTCCTTCTCCGTCTTTGTCGCCAATTTCTGTTGCGATGGCAAGTGCTTTCTCGTGATATTCTTTAGCCTTCTGATATTCACCGAGTGATTGAAACACAATTCCAAGGTTCCCGTAAGATGTTGCTTCTCCATTCTTGTCGCCAATTTCTGTTAAGATGGCAAGTGCCTTCTCTTGATATTCTTTAGCCTTCTGATATTCACCGAGTGATTGAAACACTCTTCCAAGGTTCCCGTAACATGCTCCTTCTCCGTCTTTGTCGCCAATTTCTGTTAAGATGGCAAGTGCTTTCTCGTAATATTCTTTAGCCTTCTGATATTCACCGAGTGATTGAAACACTCCTCCAAGGTTCCCGTAAAATATTCCTTCTTTGTTTGGGTTGCCAATTTCTGTTGCGATGGCAAGTGCTTTCTCGTGATATTCTTTAGCCTTCTGATATTCACCGAGTGATTGAAACACAACTCCAAGGTTCCCGTAAGATGCATCTTCCTGGTTTTTGTCACCAATTTCTGTTGCGATGGCAAGTGCTTTCTCGTGATATTCTTTAGCCTTCTGATATTCACCGAGTGATTGAAACACACCTCCAAGGTTCCCGTAAGATGTTCCTTCTCCGTTTTTGTCGCCAATTTCTGCTGCGATTGCAATTGCTTTCTCGTGATATTCTTTAGCCTTTTGATATTCGCCGAGTGATTCAAAAACAGTTCCGAGTTTCCTGTAAGATGCTCCTTCTCCTTTTCTGTTGCCAATTTCTGTTGCGATGGCAATTGCTTTCTCGTGATATTCTTTAGCCTTCCGATATTCACCGAGTGATTGAAACACAACTCCAAGGTTCCCGTAAGATGCTCCTTCTCCGTGTTTGTTGCCAATTTCTGTTGCGATGGCAAGTGCTTTCTTGTAATATTCTTTAGCCTTCTGATATTCACCGAGTGAGTGAAACACAACTCCAAGGTTCCCGTAAGATGCTCCTTCTCCGTGTTTGTTGCCAATTTCTGTTGCGATGGCAAGTGCTTTCTTGTAATATTCTTTAGCCTTCTGATATTCACCGAGTGAGTGAAACACAACTCCAAGGTTCCCGTAAGATGCTCCTTCTCCGTTTTTGTCGCCAATTTCTGTTAAGATGGCAAGTGCTTTCTCGTGATATTCTTTAGCCTTCTGATATTCACCGAGTGATTGAAACACACCTCCAAGGCACCCGTAAGATGCTCCTTCTCCGTTTTTGTCACCAATTTCTGTTGCGATGGTAAGTGCTCTTTCGCAATATTCCTTAGCCTTCTGATATTCTCCGAGTGAATAAAACACACCTCCAAGGCACACGTAAGATGCTCCTTCTCCGTTTTTGTCACCAATTTCTGTTGCGATGGTAAGTGCTCTTTTGCAATTTTCCTTAGCCTTCTGATATTCTCCGAGTGAATAAAACATGTTTCCAAGATTCCCGTAAAGTGTTCCTTCACTGTTTTTGTCGCCAATTTCTGTTGCGATGGCAAGTGCTTTCTCGAAATATTCCTTAGCCTTCTGATATTCTCCAAGTGATCGAAACACAGCTCCAAGATGTTCATTAGCCACTGCCTCTTTTATTTTACAGCCGATAGTTTTCATGGTAGCAACTGCTCTTTCAAAGAGTTTCTTGGCTTCTGCAAACCTACTCTTTTCTCGATATTTTTCTCCCAGTTTTATCATTAATATCCCAGCATTGTGGAACTTACCAATTAGTCTGCTGGTGTATCTTGCTGCGTTTGTGTAACCAGAGATTGCGTAGTACGCATTGAATATCACCTCATTCACATCAAGGTCATCAATACCACAGTTCAAATTGTTGAGCAAAATTAAACATTCACCACACACCTCACTGGCTTGTATACCACGATCAGTCCTCAAAAGAAATATGACCACATTTATGCCTATCTTGATCTTTTCTAGGATCTCATGCATGTAATTCATCTCTTTTGCGTTTATCAGAATGGTCCCTGACGTGAAAATATAAAAAAGGGAAAAGTAAAGAAACTCAAATGACGAAAGAAGATTAAGGTTTTTTTTCTGTTTTTTTTTTTAAAGGGCATTGTTTTCTTTCCGTGAGGGTTCTTCGGTTTAAGTGCAACATTCATTTTTCATTATTTTCAAGGCTAATCACTTGAGCACACACAACAATCCTTGACAAATTATGTCGGAGAAATTTGTTAAACATCCAATTTAAAGATCCGATCTAAGCTAAAGGTTTCGACCCTCCCAGCTTTCGCTCGTATCAGTGTCACTTTCACTTGGATTTAGAATGCGCCTCTGGAATGCGTTACGTTCAGAGTCAAAGAATGTAGTTGTATCTTTTTTTTCAGTATCCGTGAAGACCTAGGGTAGGCAGAAATCATACCCCAGACGATGGAAAGTTCTTATAATGCGACGTGTAACAGGGTCAGTATATCTAGAATCATTTTAGTTACGCCTAGAGCTTAATTTTTCCAATATTCGTTTCACAGAACAATAGATTAAATTTATAATGGTAAAAGGACCGAGTGGAGTCCAATTTGGTCTGTAATTATACGAGTTATAAACAAAAGGACTAAGTTTGATTGGATGCTGCAACTGTCCGATCGCAGGTGTCCGATTACAAATGAATGGAATGATTCATTAAAAAAAGTAGCAAATGTACCATCAAATTTGAGGAATTTGTAATAGTTATGATTAACAAGAAAAAAAAATTAATGGCCAGCGGCTATGGAACTATAAGAGAGAGACAGCTTACCTCTAAAACAGTCACATGGAGTGTTCAGTATCCTCTGGTTACCGTCTGACGAATGAAACCAAATGTAAAAAACTGAAGAAAAAAACTTCCCCTGTCAGTGATGAATACAAATAAATAGCGTTATTCCAAAGTAAGTACCTGCGGATCAATAGCAGTATCTGGGCAACTGCCCACCTACTCCTCCCCTAACCCAACATTAATCCTAGCTTGTTATAAATTAGAGATGATCTTTGTTCGTTTGTCTCACGGTAGAGTCACTTATGATGTAGATCGCGACGTTTCGACTGCAATACTGCTAGTCTTCATCAGATGATGAGGTCGATTGTTTACGTGTCGCTATTTGTAGCACGTTGGTACGCTGCTATTGGTGCATTTCGATCCTCATTATTATTCCGATCGTTGGATGGTGTTCCCTCGTAGGTCCTCATAAATCGGCTCTTGTGTTGTATGATCGTGGGTATCCAAGCTTCGATTTTGCTATCCCTATTGATGTTGTTGGGATGAAGTCTTATATGGATAGCCTCTTTGACCTTACGTGCGTACCAGTGGGGGTCACGATCAATAAACTTCATAAATCGACTCGTTATATTGGAAATATGTCGATCTTACGACGAAATTCAAGAGATCGGCAATTTGTGTAGGTGTTAAGTTTGTGCGGTTAGCAAGATCTATCTATCTGCTTTAAATGCCATCGGTCTAATAATATTATGATAGTTAAGATTTTAATGATTATAAAGATTGTAAGGATTATATATACCATAGTTCTAATAATATCACATTTGTAGAGATTTTAATGATTATAAAAATTGTCACGATCAAACAACACAAGAGCCGATTTATGAGGACCTATGAGGGAACGCCATCTAACGATCGGAATAATAATGAGGATCGAAATGCACCAATAGCAGCGTACCAACGTGCTACAAATAGCGACACGTTAAAAATCGACCTCATCGCCTGATGAAGACTAGCAGTATTGCAGTCGAAACGTCGCGATCTACATCATAAGTGACTATCGTGAGAAAAACCAACAAAGTTCATCTCCTATCTTACACCACGATGAACAATAAGCACATATTTTATCACATTGTTATCAATTGACTGTTGTTGGGTTAGGGGAAGGGTAGGTGGGCAGTTGCCCAGATGCTGATACTGATCCGGACTTGCTCCGTCGATAAAAATATTTTCATTAGTAAAAGATTGAATCTCTTGGTCTTGACATCTGAATTTTCTGCTCTTAAAACTTAAATTGTCAGACTGAATGATTAAAAGGTAACTTCTCTTTTTCAATACCATACATTAAGATACAAACAGTTGATGAGAACACATTATGTGATCAGCTTAATGACATCACCTTGATTCAAACCAAATTCTCTAAAGTTGCTGTTAAGAAAATGTGTAGCAGTTAGAAGGGAGAATTACTAATAAGATCTTGGAGGCGAAGGTTTTAAATTAAGTTTTATTTATTTTGCCCGCAGACTTATATTTATGTCAAATTTTGTGGCGGAAAATCCTCCTCAATTTATGAGGTTATTTCGATCTTTAATACTCCTATCATTTATTACGGCAAATTTCCGTAAAAATAACTATGATTATTTTAGAAAAGTAAAAACATTATCTCTATAGTTTTTTTTAGCTGCTTACCTTTCAAACAACACCTGTCGAGTTTAATGTGTTGATCTTGTGAAGAAACCAAAAGGAAAAAACTGAAATAACACCTGTGAAAGAAAGATGAATGCAAATAGCAAGAGTCCATAAAAAATAATCACAGAAAATCTCTAAGTTCGTTTAGACTACTGCAATACCAAATCTTTTCCAGTTTAAAAATTTAAAGATTGCTTTCACTAATCAATAATCCTCAGTAACTGAAGTTAATAAAACTTATGTCTGAAATATGTCAGAATTTAGAGAGGGAAAAGGATATCAATAAAATTTATTCCTTCGCTCTCCTCTAAAGAGTGCGTCATTATTTAGCCTACAATCATCAGGTATGATTTTCGATAATCGCCCTCCTTTTTCAATGATAGAATATCGCATGGGAGTCTCGTTATTTTAACTTGTAGCTTCAATAAATTGCAGCTTCTAAATAAGCCTTTAAAAATGTGAAAACTGTTTAGTATGCACGACTGTCGAATTGTTATGATATGATTACGACGACACGATCAATGTCGGTGTTGTATTACAAGCAGATCGATCGTAAGAAACAATCGCTCAACCTTTATCTGCTTGGACGTTTCATTTACCACAAGCTATCTTGTTCTTTACTGGGATTTTGCTTCCCTGTGATATTTAGCGTTGGTATATTAATCCCTATATTGGTAATCCACAGAGTAATAAATCATGTAAAGGCAGAAGTACTTACAGAGGCTTGAAAATATATTGTATCAATAACAAAATTCTTTTGATATTGGACAGATAATACAGCAAATTAATCATCTCACATTGTACTTACCACAATTCGATTTCTGAACGGTTTCTTGTTTTATAAAGTAATACAACCAACTTTAGGAATCAAATTATTACCATTTGTCTATCGGTTTTAAAATACTGGTGGCAGACTTAGGCCATCCCTAAAGAGGTAAAATGGTTCCACCCACCATTCCCCCCTTCCTCGTAAAATTTCATATTTGGCTAAACTCATGATATGATTCAACGGAGACCCGGGGGGAGCCCTTACAAAATAAAGTGTTGGAGGGACGCCGTGTGTTCTCTCAAACCTCGAGTTTATTTGTGGCGGTCTTACACGTACGTGACTCTATACGGGAGATCACCAATTATATATCACAAACACGTAGGATTCTTTACCCTTAACATCAGTATCCATATTCTCCTCACTCTTCTCTTTACGTTTCCTTTGGTAGTAACAAGGAGATTTTATTTATGAATCATAGCTCTTAAGTTGGCGATCATTTCCTTTATTCGCATGACCTTAATGAATGATTCAGCGGTATTAATGCGAGGAAAATCTGATCTGGCTACTCCTAAGGTTTTAAGGGCCGACTATGAACGGTCAGCACATCATCGAAGCATGGTCAATTTATGGTGTCATGCGTTTGTTATGCACGCGTTTCTTTTTCTAGGAGCACGGTTATTAACTGAGTCAGGGGTCGAGTCTCGAGCCGGAGGGGAAAATATCTGGCTCTCGTTTATTACGAAATGAACGCTAGAGATATGTAAACAGACCTTGTCCAAACCTTTATTATATTACTTTAAATAAGTAATAGTGAGACACATAACATGCCACTTTTTTTATTTGAGCTTCTTTGCCTGATTTATGGTAATATCGACGAATTGTTTACTATTCATTTTAAATCAAGTAATTCGGTTCGTACGTTTATGGCAGCCATAACTTACCATCTAAGTTACGTATGTCCATCTGTTTGACTGAACGATGGAACAAAAAATGTTTTTCAACGGAAACGAGAAGAGAGCCTGAGAAAACTCAAGAGATTAATTATTGCTTGGAAGGGCTCTGCATACGAGACAAAAACCGATATTTACCTACATGTGTTCCTGTCGAACTTTTCGGCTTAAAACCTAAGAAAAATAAAATATTCTTGGAATACTTTGAAGTGTTTTCAACTCTCCGCTTCTGTTAATCTGTAGCAGATTTGAATCAACCTCCTCCATGATAAGTAGCTATGATTATTCCACTGTAATGTTCGGTTGAACTCCCCATCATTTCACTTTCAAGTATCCTTTATCTCAGTATACTAGACTCCCGGCATTCCTTGCAGTACCCGATTCTGAGTCTTTTTACATAATTGCTGGTCATGTTATAATCATAAATACGTATTACATAATAATTTGGGGTACAGAAATACGTCGCATTCTTCAGAATTTCTGTTGTCACTGTCAAACGTATGCTCTCAAAACACTATAAACTGAAAATGAAAATATATAACTGTATTCTACACTCTCCTGTTGACCCTTTAACTCCCAAGATCTGATTGAGAATTCTCCCTGCTAGCTACTACACATTTCCTTGTAAATTAATTGCAAGAATTTGGTACTAGATCAAGATAACAACTTCTACCTGATAAGTTTGAATATTCTCATTAACTAATTGCTGGATAATATATGGATAATTTAGGGAGAAGTTACATTTTAATCACCTCTGGGAGTTAAAGGGTTAAAGTCTAAATTATGAACATGTACCAACCATAATTAAACAAACTTTACAATTTCTAATTTCATTTTGGTAGATCACAGCCACACAAGGATGGCAGAAGTATTGCAAGTTTAAAATATTGGAATGTAGTTATCAATTTTGGATTTATTTCTCTGAGCAATGCACTCAGCTATCCATACGATATTGCGACACTCCTGTTCTTTTAGCTTGACATAGGCATAAAACACACCCAGATGGAACTGCTGTTGGAATGCTAGAGTGTTCATCTTCACCTGTGAGGAGAAAAAAAACAGGCTCTACCTTTTCATACCAGAGATGTGATAAGCAATTCTCCCCCTGTAGTTCCTTGACATTTCTTTGTAACTGTTTATGGGAATCTTGTTTTTTATCAGTTATCAAGTTGTCTATTTTCGTTACCTGTTTGCTGGACAATGTATTGATATTGATGGGAGAAATAAAATGTTTATCACATGTAGTACAACTGTGAAGACCATTACTGATCAGTTCTAGTATAGAAGTCACATTTTGCAATTCAACTGATGATGACCCTGTTCAACAAGTCTTCTCCCATCTCAAATGACTATCCATCATGATGACTTTATGCATTGATAACAGGAAAAAAAAAGAGAAAAAAAAGAGGGTAAACCCAAAGCCACCCCCCTCCCATATCCCCAGCATTTTGTTCAGTTCCCCCTAACAGTTCATGAATAACTATTTACACTCATATGTAGAGAGAGCTGTTGTCAGAGTCAACTATCCCACCCAGTAATATGGTACAGAACCCTTGGTCAAGGTATTTTAAATACTGAGTCTAGAACATGCTAACCAACAGACTGACATATGGAATGAGAAACTGGGTAAAATGGCCACAGGTAAAATGTTGATCACAGGTAGAGTGAAATTTTTTCACACTTTTTAACAATGAAATTGTCAAATCACACTCAATTCTAGAACTTTTTAAGTCCTGATCTCTTTACATACCTCATGCTCAAAGAATTTATCTTCCAGTGTCTTTTCACCAGGATTTGTACCAGCTCCTTCAAAGAGAGACTTGTAATCCTGTGAAAAAACCAAAGTACATGTTATCACTGAAAGGTTAAGGACAAAAACAAATCCTTAGTGTTTTAATTTCCTTTGTCAGTGCTCTTTTAGAAATATATCTAGAAGACAGTTTATTGGAAAAACTTGAAAGCCACCCCGTGCTACACCATGTGGCTTTACTTCACTGACTGTTACATGATGTATGTGTGCAATTTACAAAATGTTTCAAAAGAGCATTTAGGAAAACACATGGAAAACCATGCTCTCTCAACAGAACATGAAAGAAAAAAAACTTGAACAAAAGAACAACTGTTATTGAAAGATCATAGACCAACAAGGGCTTTAAAAAAAATGAAAAGAGAGAATTGACTGATTGATGCTTATGAGAAAACAACCATGCACATGATGGGGGGGTTGACAGGAGATCACACAGTGGTGAACTGCAACAACAACAATGAAAAAAATACATTAAACAAAGAAGCACTATGTGTGACATGAGAACCCTTCTATCCACACCTAAAATTTTAGCACTCAGACCAGACTTATGTGTTATAGATCATTTTCTGCTTTTTTCTCCTCAGCCAGTGGAAAACACAAAAACTTAAAGGAGACAACATTTACACTCAACAACCTTTACATGTTTGAAATGCAAAGTAAAAATGTACCGAGTAGTAATCTGCCACTGCTCTGACTTGTTCATAATCATCGGCTCTGGCCAACCTAGACAGTCCCTCTGGGTACAGCTTGCCGCACTTGGGATAAAGCTTGTTACGATCATCCTTACCAAGTTCAGTGCCAAAGGAATTGATGGTGATAATGAAAGCTCGACGATCAGCCTCAAACTAAGAAATGCATTAAAGGAGAAGGAGAACATTTCAACAAATTAATCCTTCTATACCCAGGGTAAAGTTTAAGGGGGAAGGGTATCTGAAACTGCGTGTGACCCTCTAGAGTAAGAAAAACATTAAGTATTTATTCATGATTAAGTATTCTAGTATTCTCTTTATTTCCAGTTGGACACTACTGCAAGACACCACATTGAAAAACCCTTCCAACAAACCTGTTAACCTTCTACACCCTAACATCAGTATGCATATCTTTGCACATTTCCTAAGGTGCTGACTTTGCCCTAGCGACCTTAAAGAGTGATTCAGGGTTGACATTGTAAGGTGAAATTAGATGCTAGTCACTCTTAGGGGTTAACTTAACTGTTTGAGGCAAAATGCATCCAGGCAATGATGGCTCTCCATGTATGTGCTAAATGACATGCATAGCAATACATTCATACATTTTCCCTCTTCTCTAATTGTCCAAAAAAAGTGTAAACTTAAATACTGTTCAGAGACTTAAAGAAAAATCTCACTTACTTGAAGAATTGGGCACATGACATCTGCTGTTGTTCCACCTAAATCTTCACAAAACTTGTGGAAGCCTTCAAGGTATGCCTGATGATAAAAATTACCACATAGAAGTTTGATTCTCAACACAATGGAAACAAGCCAGGGGTGAATGTACACTTCCATTTAGAAGCTAGGACATTACTTTGGAAAGAAATGAGGAGAAGAAAGGCAATTTGTATGTTGACAGCCAGTGGCACAGTGCTTAGGAAGTTTAAGGTTAATGTTTCTCACTATCTGTGTTGTTGTTGAAAAATGAGTTTCTGTATGAAAAATCTCATCTGATGATATATATATTCAACAAAGAAAACTAAAAGAAAAATAGTTTGAAATCATTTCAACCTGAAATTCATTTAATGAGCAACATCCACAAGTATCTGAAGTCACCCTGGCTCACCTTATACAATGTGTTTCTGATAATCTCAATATTCATCTCATCTAAGTCCTGTTCAGAAATGCATTCCACAAAAAATGGTGCTGGAGATCAAATAAAGAACTACTTCATTAGTCTTTGTCTGTATTCCACCATCAAGAAAAGAGAGGAAAGAATACTAACCCAACAAAATTACTAATCACAGATCATGATCAACACTATTCCATGCACACAGATGATGACAATAAAAATTAAAAAAATTGAAGAATATCATATAAATGTAAAGAAGAATTTTCAAGGCTGACCAACAAAAATTATTCTGTAAGGAGAAATAACATTTTTATATTGTGATGTTAAGGCAATTGGATAAGCACACATACTGTACCTACATGTGTTCCTATTGCTGGATGATCAATTCTTCATCTTAACTAAGCAGCTTAACTGCATTGGAAGCAACTCCACATGCTGATAGTATTGTTTAAGTTTAGCATAACTGTAATTGTTTCTGAGTTCTAAGAGTGCTGAATTAAGAAGCCAATAAATCATTAAAGAGAAGACTTGTCTTTGACAGAATTCTCACATTACAATCTGTGCTAACCTAAAGGAGTGTCAATCATAACAGCATTGTACAACTCTGCAGGAGTGGATGCAATATTGATGGAGGCCATTTCCTCAAAGCTACCCAAGGGATGACATTTGGGGACCAGTTCTGATATGGGTCGCTGATGCAGTGTTCCAGTGATCAACAGAATGATATTGTCAATCATGTAACTATACCTAAAAATCAAACCAATAACTAACTTTAAAATGATGATGCTCAAATTGTAGGCTCTCCTGTGCAAGTCATACACACACAAAGTTTACAATTACAGAGAATCATAAAAAAACCACATTATATAGCACTTCAATCCAAGCAACTAATAAAAACAACCTCATGATAGGCTGCATTTAAGAGCTGACAAGTATATTTAAGCCTTGATGAAAAAATACTAAAATATGTCGGGCAAAACTAAATGAATACATTCACTGTCAGGCAATGAATCCAAAAAATTGTGGCAATAATAGTGACAAAAATAAAAAAAGAATATTTAGTAACTCTTTTCCTCCCAACATCTGATTAATGATTCTCTATGCTAGCTGCAACACATTTCCTTGTGAATAAGTCAAGAGAATTTGGTGTTAGATCAATAAAACAACTTCTAGTTGACTCTGAAGATGACTTCCGCTCAGGTTGTTGAAACATCAGTCACCACTACCGACAACAGTCCTTCTCAGGACTACACTTACCTGGATAATCAAACAACACTATTACAAAACAACTTCTACCTGACAAGTTTGAGTATTCTCATTTCCTCTCTGTTGGATAATTTAGGGATATTAGAAGGAAAATTTAGATGATAAGCACATCTGGGAGTTTAAGAGTTACATGTGTAACTGAGTTCAAAATGAACAAGTTGTCATATCAACAACATGGTGACTTAGTGAGGTTTTACTTTTAAGACCAATTTAATGGCTTACGTAATGAAGTCCATAAAAGTTGCCATTGGTTCAAGAGCTTGGTTGCGTAAATGCCTAAACTCTGTGACCAACTTCTCCCTCAGTCTGTCATCAATAACTGACACATTCAAAGGACCAGCCTCATTTTGAAGAAAATTTCCATAATCTGTGCTTTGCAAGTGTAGCTTCAGATCTACAAAAAGAAGAATCAACTTTAAAATAATTTAACGCCCACAGCTCAATTGATATCTTGTGTTGACTCATGTAACAAAATAGGATTTTCCAATCACATTCAACTCATCAATTTCTAACATGAACAACAGCACCTTGGCAAGTCATCATGGCATTCAGTAAATAATTTGCAGTGTGTAAATTTTGGGCAATATTTCCCTACAACCACACACTAATTTAAAACAAAACCATAGTCCCAAAGGCAATCTATTGTTTTGCTATTCTTTTCTTTATCCAAGAACTGTATACATAATGAAGTAAGGGGCTGTACAGAAATCTTACCAAACTTTTTTAAACTACTCTAACGAATATAGAAATGATCCTCCCAGTTATGAACACTACTGAACTAGTAGTTGAAATAAGGCCTGAAAAAAATTCAGGTCTATACAGGATTTGAACCCATGACCTCTCTGGTGCAGTGCTCTACCAACTAAGCTAACAAGCCAACTGGGAGCTGGTCATTATGTTGGATCCAAATACATAAACATTAATTGCATAAACATAAAGAGCCTGTCATGATTTTCATGTTTATGTAATGGCTACATTCATTGTCGCAATGTGTAAAGGCACAAAAGTAAACAAGGCATTTTTCGTGTTCCTTTTCGTGCTTTTTTCAATTTGCAAGCATTGAATTACGATTACATATATCAAACTTTCTGAATTTCATACTTCCGTTAACATTACTACAATGTAATGTATATTTTATGAAAATACTGATGATGCACTAGCTAGTAGTAATGTATACGGCCATAAAATAACTCTAAAGGATATTTCAACTGTTAGGCTATGGCATTAGATTGATTTCTATTTCGTCATCAAACATACGAGACACAACACGGCGAGTAAACCAAAATTAAGCTTACATGCGAAGCAAGTATCTACAGTGTCTTGTACTGTTAGATGCTAAAAATATTCGCTAACTTTTTACCTTCCAGCGTTTCGCATTGAGACAAATTGAGGTAATCACTTTGATTTAAGATTCCTGATCGAAATCCTCGGACCAAACCCTCAAGATAACCACTATCTACGTTGAAAAATAACTCATGAAACGACAACATCTGAGTTGTCTCGGCCATTTTTCCCCGTTCCAATATGGCGGACAATATAAACCGAACCAGTCTTTCCGACTGTCACAGGTTAATCATGTGATTCGTCACGTAAAGCAATCCGCAGTCGTCACGCAACGCTCCTCTGGGAATCTCAGCCCAGTCCTCCTCCAGTCTTCTGCTAGTTCAAATTATCAAGCGCGGGAAAACATGGCGGAAAGAGTCATTGTAGAAAATTATTGTTGCCGTGTTTAACAGTTCATTAAAACTAGTTGTACTACGAAATCCGTCGACATCAGCTACTTGAAAATTCTTCTGTTGTCGTAATGGATCCTTCAGAAGTGGAATTTCTAGCCGAAAAGGAAAAAATATCCATTCAAACTAACTTCTCTGAGGACAAGATTTATTTGATCGGGGTAGGTGTATTTATAACCAAGAAAGAACGATATAAATGAATACTTTTGTTTTTTAATGAGACGAAGAGACGTATTCTCGACGAAGGCTATTTGCCAGGGCTATTCATTTGACCACTGTTGTTGTGGATGCTACTCTTGAAGTAATTCTGTGTACGTACATTGTATGCCTGCTTCCAACGGACAACTTGACCACAATTTTCTATGCTATTTTCACTTTTTGATGCAATTTACACTTTCTGATTTGCAGGGAGACATTGGACCATTTAATGCGTCTCTGCCTACGGAAGTACCCCTGTGGATTGCGATATTTTTGAAACAGAGAAGAAAATGCAGAATACTGCCTCCCGATTGGATGGATGTTGGTAATATGTTATTCTCAACTCAGATTACAAGTAGTTTTTTTTCATTACCAAAAGAGCCATTAAGGGTGCTAAATAAGGCGGAGAAGCAATCATAGGCCCCAGAATACTCCAACACTATTTTAAACCACATCTTACAAACAAGGTCTGCTCCACACTAATGCAAAGTGGAGAAAATGAAGAAAACAATCTGACATGCTTCAAAATGGCAGTGAGACATTCATGCATGGTGCTTTTACTGGAAAAAGCTAGTCAGGCAGCTCCTGTAGTGTTCTTGAATAAGACACCTTTCATTTATACTCCTGTGGGGTAGAGGGGGGGATTATTTGCTATGAACAAACCTAATGTTACTACAGAAGGATTAGGGACCATAGTTGGTTCACGCTGCAGAAATAAGGATAAACTCTGATGGCTAAGCAATGCAACCTCAATATGCAGACCTAACTGCTTGAAAATGCCAGCTTCCTCAATCATTTCACTTGTGTGTATCTGTTTTAGACCCCCCTCCCCCCCCCTTGCAACAAAATCAGTTACCTTCCATTTAAATTCATTTTAATCATCTTTTCTTTTTTTAATTTATGTGCACAATTTTGAGGGAGGAGGGTGATATACTCAAGTTATATCCCCTGGCCTTGCTTGCCGTCTTTTAGGTACTAGAGTGTACCTTAAAATGAGAATTCTGTGGCCAACCACTTTGAATCCTTGTTTTGCAGAAAGGTTGCAGGAACTTAAGGAAAAAGAGAAAGAGGCAGATTTCTTTACCAAAATGCCTTCTAAACACTACATGGAAGTAGCTTCTCTTCTCCTCAACAGGTATGTTTTAATTAAGTATGATAAAATGATATGATAAAAGAATTAGTAAATTATGCTAGTAACACAAATTGATTATTGCAGAAAGAGCTTTCTTGTAGGGTTTATTTTGTAGTGTTAAGTGACTTTCAGGTCAAAAAGAGTTAAGTTTCTTTTTCCTTATTGATCAGTGTTCATCAGTGTGGTAACTAAAGAAAGGGAAATGCAAATCAAACCAGTTTAAAATCATGTATTAACCCTTTAACCCCCAAGAGTGACTGGCATCTAATTTCTCCTTACCATATCACCCCTGAATCAAACATGAAGGTCATGAGAGTAAAGGAAGTGACCACCAACTAAAGAAGCTCTTTTAGAGAACAGTATGGAGAATATGTATACTGATGTTAGGGTGTAAAGGGTTAAGTTTAATCATTGATTTTGTTTGATTTTCAGTCAGTATGGCATTAGTCAGTGAAACTCATAAATCATTTAACCCTTTTCATCCAACCATCAGTACACATGTCCTCCATACTGTTCTCCATATATTTCTTTAGGTGCTGACAAGGATAATTTGTTTAACAATTAAGTGCCTCTTTAGTTGGTGATCATTTCCTTTATTCCCATGACCCTAATGCATGATTCAGGGGTGGTATTGTGAGGAGATAGTAGATACTAGTCCCTCCTAAGGTTCAATCAGTTATTGAGTCCATCAGTCAGTCAGTATGTACAACTTGTGGTTTCAGTGCTTCAGATGATATTCCTCATGCAGATGAAGTTCGCACATTAATTAAAGACATCTGGGACTTGAGAATTGCCAAGCTTAGAAAGTCTATTGACATTATGGTCAGCCAGCAGGAAGTTTATGCCAGAGTAAGTTTTTTCCTGTGACATGCGTAGGGTTTCCTTACATTTGTGATGGTAAGGAAGTGATCTAGGACTTGATCATAACTATAAGATAAGTGATACAGAATACCAGAACCTCCCCCATTTTCCTTAGGATTAGATGAATGGGATCATGCCATTCCCCCCCCCCCCCCCAGATAAGGTCTCAAAGGTTTCATTTTGACAGGTTTCCCTTACATACATTTCTACTCCAGGGTTAAAAGTAGCCATGTGAGATCATAGTTTTGTGCACATAAAGTGACACAATTTTGTGATTGTTATTAAGACTTTACCTGCACTATTTCAAAACTTCAGTGTGCTCATTATCAGGCCACAAAATCTCCCTGAACAAACAATTATAAATGAAAAAAATAGATACAATATGAAACATAGTGAGTGCGTAACCTGCAGGGCAAATGATTCTAGGGTAGGATATTGCTTTGCCATAGTTTGATCACTTTTCATTGATATTTTTTGTTTTGTTTTCACAGTTGGATGATTTGTCATTGATGGAAATAAACGTGATTCGCCCATTCCTGACACAAGCTCTGGATCATATGCACAACTTGAGGTGTCATGTTGCAGAAAATCCAAGTAACACTTAACAGAAGGTTGTGAAAAGATTGTGATTGTGACATAACAGAAGGTTGTGAATTCAATGCAATGCACTTCAGGTGTCTTTATGTCTGTTTACACAACCACTAGAATTTAGTAATAGCACTCTTCTTGCTACACTAGAGTTGAAATAGTACAAGTAGGTCTGGTTTTCCTGAAAATAAAAGCAGAAATCTGTAAGTAAGCTTGTAAATACACTAAGATGCTGATCTTGAGATGCTGTCAGTCTGGAATGTGACACTTCAAGCTACAACAGTTACTTATATAGTTGCCATGGCAAGTGAGAATAAATGTTTGGTGATTAAATTTGCAGTTTAAGTGTAATCTGGAAAAAGTGTCTTGACGAAAATGTAATTAATAGCTACCATGTGTCTTTCTTAAGGCTGTATTCTCTTTGGTGAGTGACTTTTGAAAAGCAATATTTCACTTTTCTGGGGACTCTGTGGGTAAATTATATCAAACTGATCAAATGGCCAAAACACAAAGTGATCAGAAAAAAATGAGTCACTTCCTAAGAAAATTAAACTTTGCGGTAGATTTTGTCACTTAAATTGTTCAGCTAACAAATGAGGAAGGTTAGACTACAAACTGCTTGAAGCTTGGGAAAATGCAATTACCAAACTTGAGATTTTCTAAGAGCTGAATCCAAGAAAATTTCCCTTAACTTTATGATGTTTCCACCTTAACTCAGACCACCCTTTTTTTCCAATCTGGTCAACCCTCTTTTCTGGGTGGTACAGACCCATCCCACATCAGACCCATATCTAATGAAACTCTGGAGACAAGGTAGAAATGATGATGGACATGTCAACATGGACTCCTGCCTCCTGTAAGGGTGGTGAAGATGTTGTGTAAGCATATTTCTGACAATCAGATGCATAGTACTTCTTTCCAAAACATATTACTGGCATTTTGGATTCTCATAAGGGATGTGTTGAAAGAAAGTGTCCTTGACGACTTAGACTTTGGTAGCAACTGTAATATTTATTGTATCAATAGATTTCACCAGATCACCGTAAAGCTCTTTTTGTAATGTTTTTATATTTCAGAATACTGTATACCTGCAATATAATTTAAAAGAATATGTGTAGCAGCTAGAGGGGAGAATTAACAATCAGATCTTGGGAGTTAAAGGGTTAACATAAGTGTGACCAGAACACAATTTCTATAATTTATTTCTGAATCATTCATTAAGATCATGGGAATAAAGGAAATGATTACCAACTTAAGAAGCTTTGATTGTTAAACAAATTCTCCTTGTCAGTGCCAAAGGAAATGTATGGAGAGGAGTGTGGAGAATATGGATACTGATGTTAGGCTGTGAAGGGTTAAGAGACACCTGCAAAGAAGGCTAATTGTTTTTCATATAATTTATTTACTTGTCAATGGCTTAAACTTCTCTTCATCAACATTACAGATAATTCTGGAAAAGCATGGGGAAAAAAAATTAACTTTTGCACACAACATAGAAATATTTGTTGAAGCTTAAAAATACATTAATGTATGGGCTTTAATATTTTAAAAGTCTGAAAGTTTTCTGACACTTTTGTGTCTGTGCATAATGTGAGAGCAAAACTTTGTTTCTTGGGAGAATGCAATGAAAATCTAGTTCTTAAATATAGAATCTTACATCTATTTTACACATATATTAGCTTTTTAAACTGTCAATAAAGAAATGAAGTCTATCTAGACCCTCTCTTAGTGTGGTCTTTTCTTCTTGAAGTTTCTTCTTGGCTTGGACAAGATTCTGAAGAGAAAAAAATGCTCTTTAAATGGATTGAATGAAGTTTACGTAACAGATATGGCAAAACAATTAAACGCTTTAAGTACTGCCAATCAATTCTCTTAAGCATGGTCATCAGAGAAAATAGCAGGCAAAACAAAGGCTACTGTAAAGCATCCTCAAAATGTTTTGAAATCTATATGATAACATGTGCTTGATGCAGGATGTAGAAGGTCAAAAATATATGAGTTAGTAATACTGTAATGATGAACTCACAGGACTGGTTATTTCAACAAAGTTTAACCATTGTTTAACAAAACCGCATTCTAAGCCATCTCTAATTGAGCCAAATCCTTTATCTGAACATTAATTTTTGTGAACTGTGTCAAGAGAGCTGAAAGCTAATAAAGGAAGGAATCCCTGAGGTGCACTGCTTTCGCGGTTTGGGTTTAACCTCGTGTAAAGAACCAACCCACAGTGTTTGAGCAACCATCATGGAATAAGCAGTTTAATCATCTGAACAAGGCCAACACAAAGAAAGAGTTGAATTGTGTTGGATTAATTTCATTCTATCAACCTTCTAAAGAATCATAATTATTAACATCTTTAAATGGTTAATATATCTCCAAGAGGTGCATATATATTGTGTCTTGGAGCACTTTTAAATTAAGCGTCATAAAACCAAAATCAAATCAATCAAAATTCTAACAAACAATTAGAACAAAGCTTGAGACAATTAGCACTCAGAAAACAAGAACTCAAAACAAAATAGATGCATAAAAGCTATCAAGTTTTCAGTTTGTTTCATTGCTTCTGGATGAAAGAGAAAACTGGACAAGTCTCTAAGACCAATCACAGTCAGTGGTAACATAGACTCAATGCAGCCTGCAATTACTTTTAACCCTTCATTAAAAATTGCTCCATGCCCAGCTACTAACTTACCGTCATTTGGAGATTAAGAGCCTGTGCCTCATCATTCAGGGAAACATTTTTGGATTTTAACAAATCAGCATTGTCTTGGAGAACACCTATTTCCAAATACCTCTCTGCAACAAAAGAGTTGGAAGATAAACAAGACAACATAAGTACGAAATGGAAAAAGGAAAAGACTGTGCACAAGCCATGTGGCTCACATTGAAGAGCTTATTCCAGTTTCAGGGTCAGATCAAGAGGGAAAGAGTTGGGGAAGGGGAGGGGGGGTGTGTGTTGTGGTCTAAACTTCTTTATCAGACCTGTGTTTTTTCCTTTTATTGCTTGTTTCAAACCAAAGTTCTTACTTCAACAGTATTGCTAGATTACTTTGTAACTTGAAATATTTAAATTTTAGTCATCTTGAAATATTTCTTAGCTTACTTGGGTTATAGTGTAAACAGATCCTATCAAGGGAAGAATCTGCTAGGACTTCATCAGTTTAATTTTAAATAAATAATAGCATTTTCCAATTGTGATTACAACTCCAACTCTAACTACAGCTAAACCAGCCATCCAAGAGTGATCTTACACCTCAGCCAATTCAGAGGGTGATTTTACATCAATTCAACAACACTTTGTGTGTTAAATTTCAAGAAGAATCCTACCTGCCGCATGTGCGTAATAGGATTGCATGACAGCCTCAATTCCAGACCACTTGTACCCTTCCTTTCCTTGGGATGATGACTGCTGCCCCTCATCCTAAAAATAAAAGTTGAGAAACCACACCAAGTTACTCCTAAACTTAGGTTTGGTCTCTTCTATATGGGTACACTTCCTCTCTCATCGTTTTTCCTCAATAGTGCATTGCTTAGCTGTTTACAACCAAAAGCTTCACAAGATTCTTTAACAAATTTCTTGATAAATTGAGTTTACAGCAAGATTCAACAGTTAAGAAAACGTTATATTAAGTGTATGTTGATGATAAAAGATTTTAGGGTCACATCATCAGAAATAAAAATTAAAACCCTGTGATAATTTACCTAAAAGTATTACAAAAAGTGTAATCACCTGGTCATGTGTCACAAATCTATCTTAGGCTGCAACACAGATGTGAGTATTTTTTTTAATTAAAAAGTGTACCACAGAACAAATTTTTTGTTCAATGATTTTGGATGGCAATAATCAATTTGAGAGGGTTATGCCACAATATCTTCAATCTTGTCAAGGCAGGAACAAAACTATCCTCACCTTGGAGGGTTCTCCTTGTTTATTTCTAATGCTATTCTGCTGGTCTGACAAGGGTAATGGTCCAAACTGACGTCCTTGTATATTGGTTGGGTGCTGTGAGAGGTAATCTCTTGTCTCTTGTTCACTAAAAGTGATCCCCACACTTCTCAGGGGCTCTGGTCGAATAGGCTGTGTCACAGTTCTGTGGTCAGCCCTGGCATGAGAGGCAACATTCCCATGCTCATGTGAGATTGACAAGAGCCCTGTATGCCGAAGATATGGCGGACGAAATTGTGATGCACTGATGTTGCTAAAAGGATCTTCCATATTTGTGAGTGATTGAAGGGTTAGACGAGGGGGGACATGGTTAGAACTACTGCTCATTGTAGGACTTTGTCGAAATCTTTCATCACTGCTGCGACGAAAGGGTCTATCAAATGGATATGAAGGAATCCTTTTTTCAGCTTCCTCAAGTTTTATATTAACTGGTTGTTGTTTTTCTAGATCTTTGTTTCTGTTTTCTTTTCGTTCCTGCTCCTGTAGTAGCTGTTGCTTTTGTCGAGTTATTGGTCCAGTTATTGTGTCTGGGTCCAAAGAGCCTTGGCTGTTGTCAGAATCTCTGTCATTCTAGAATAAAAACAGAATGATTACACAGTCAATCAACAACAACCTTCCCCTTTTTTTTTGTCTGGAAACAGAGCTGATCAATGCAAAAAAGGACTGCAGATAACACAAACCAAACTGGCCCTTTTCAAAGAAATCCCAACATAAAATCATATCAGAAAATTAAATTAAATTCCAGAATCAATCAGTCCAGCAACTATATTGAGTATTGATCCAGGGTTTATGTCCTTAGCTTGATATGATGCACTAACCTCTTTATCCCTTCGTGCTCTTTTTGGAGGACGGCCCCTACTTTTGCGGTTCTTCCTCTCATTTCTTTTGACCTCGTATGTTTGCTCCAGCTCTGCAGGGAAGTAATTAATATTAAGTAGTTGCATTCTGGGGATCATACATGGCTCAAGCTAACATTGCAACTCAAATTCACCTGTCATAACTGTTGATTTCAAATTAATTAATTATCAGAGTGTTGTGCTAAACAAGAATTATTTCCACCACATCAAACGGCAACTTGACTCTAACAATGCCTTTCCTGGCCCAAAATTATAAATAGGTTCCAGTGAATAGACAGGTTAACCTTATGAACTACTTGGTGGCCAACTGCAACTACCATCCTATTCAGGGAGGAGTTGCCATTCTTAAAGTTGTTTCTCTTTTTAAAGAAACTTACTAGATAAGTTTTGTCAGCTGTGGGGGTCAGTCATTAAAAACCTAACCTATTATCACCAGACTGTATCGTTGCAGGAACAGTGATACAATTAATATTTTTGAGTTAGCATTACCCATCATTTAAACTGATGAAATAACTATGATCAATTATTTATCATTTGCTACAAAAAAAAAATGCACATGCAATGCTGGCTTTTATTAGTGGCAAATTCTTGTTTCAAACTTAGAAACACATTTTGACTGAAAGGATAACTTAAATAAACCTGACTGTAGGTCCCAAAGGTAACAAGTGAGATACAAACCTTGTCTTTTGCTGGGGGGTAACAGACCAAGCTTGGCCATAAAGTCAAGCTTCTGTTGATGGAAAATTGAAATTTCAGTAACTATCTTTTGTACTCTCATGTAAAAAAAATAATGCCTGATTTGCCACTAACAATAATTAAAGGGAATAAGGACAATCCTTTCCTATCCTGAAAATATTTTCAAGAATACCAATTCATTTTTCCCATACAGAGGCCAAATCTTTTTCCTGAACAAAGAGATGACTCAGAACATTTGTGTCACAACAACACCAAATTAATGCACAGTCCAACTGGCATAATTCCATATCCCCAAAAGCAATGACAAATTAACCCTCTTTCTGTAGCTATTTATGTAAACTGGTATTCCCACAGAACTTGCTGTGCTCTGTTAAAATACTTTTCTTTTTCTCACAAAAAAACTCAAAATAACATTGTTCATATCTTCGCACCAACACATAATATTCTTCAATATTTCCCAATAATAGACTTTTCACCAGTCTGATGTTAGCTAAATGATGTTAATGGACTAACCTCTGGGCTGGGAAGAGATGGTGGTGTGTTTTCAATGTTTTCATCAATGTTACCATTAACATTACTGTCGTTCATCAAGTTGTTGGGGGAATCAATGCCATTTTCATTGTCATGATCACCGTCATACTTTCTCTTAGAGTTTGTTCCTCCTTGGCTCAACTCTGCAATAAAAAATTAAGGTACATAAGAATAAGCAAAAAATCTATAGAAATCTAAAAAAATTATCACTTCTATTTTACAAAGGGAGATTTCATCTCAAAGTGCAACAAAATTTTAAAGCAAGTGTCTCCAGCCTACTGGAATTGTAATAGAAATATGTCATTCCCCCTCACAGCCATATGCTTCAAACACTTTAAAAAAACACACACACATGATAGATCAGCAAATGGCTTGAATTCTCAACAGGAACCATTTTCCACACAACAGCTAGAATTTAAACAGCTGATTATCTGATTTGTGACAGGGGAAGATTCTTGGATTATTCTTTGAAAAATTGAGACAATAAAGGATAGATCCATAAATGGAACTATGACTAAGCAACTAAGCAGAGTAACACAAAGACAAGTAAAAGCTAGGTTAGTGTGTGGTGAACTTCTGTGTACATTAATTCTCAGTACTGTTCTCTATACATTTCCTAAGGTGCTGACAAGGATAATTTGCTTAACAATCATTTAATTAGTGATCATTTCCTTTATTCTCATGACCTAAATGTTTGATTCAGGGATGATAATGTAAGGAGAAATTTCTGGTAGATACCAGTCACTAATACTGCTCAAAGTAATAGTCTTCATCATAACTTGATGAAATCAAATTAACAGTTGTTACCTTTTTTCTTTCCCACAGTTACAAGCCCTAGCCCTTCAAGAAACCTTAGTTTAGAAGGATCATGTCTAATCTTGGGAGGAAGCTCATCTACCACTCTCTCAACTTTAATTCTTTTGGCCAGACTGCTAGGAGATGACCTTTCAGTTGATTTTGGTCTCTGCATATCTACCAAAATTATGTAGAGGACAGCATTTACATTTTACAATTTCAAAATTAAAATAGTTACCCACACATAACCTTCCCTGTATACATTGTATAAGTTACCCTTGCGTTGATGAAAAATGTCATTAATTGTAGGCTAAAATACAAAGGAAATAACCAAAAGGAAAATAAAAGCCAGATTTCATGATCAATTTTCCACTAGATGCTATTTTGAAAAAAAATTACAAACATTTAAGCTTATGTAAGAGATTCTCTCTGTGATTCAATAAGCAGACCTCTCTCTGATTCTGTAAGGAGAACTTCTGTCTTGGTCAGTCATGGAAGTTAGAGGGTTTAGGGTTGATGCTTGACATTTATAGCAAAAAAAAATAGTACACAGGCATTCACTTTCGTGTTCCCTGTCACATTTTGAATTGAGGACTGATGAAATCTGCTTGTGCCCATATGAAACACTGTAGAAAATTATGGCAAGTTGTCTTTACCTGCAGGTTTGTATTCTCCATTGACAAGTGCTGCCAAGTCTCGTCGCTGCCACTCCCTTTCACCACCACCTCTTTCAACCCTTGGCAAATTTCCATGAAAACCTTCACGGGTAAATGGATGGGAATCTAAGAAAGGTGTGTCATGCAGCCCTGGCCGCTCTGATGGTCCAACAGAAGATCTTCTTGCAGTATCAGGCTGAAGATGTCGAAGATCTAATTCATTTCCATAACGATCACCAAATCCTTTTCCATCAGGAGGTGGATGGTGAAAAGGATGAAAAGGAAAGCCCCGGTACAGGTGATCTGCCTCCCTACCGGCTGCTATCCGAGCCAAGGATGGGTCCCCTTTGTGAGGGTCGACTGAAAGGGGGCTCTGATAAGGAAAAATAAAAAATCAATCAATTAGGAATTGAGGAAAACTGTCCTTGAGTTAGCTTTTTTCAGCACAAAAATGTCTGGATTTGGTCAATTCTCTTGTAGACACAGAAGGAGTGCACTCTGGGAGTCAGAAACAACTAAGAGTATTAAATGCAAGACATTACCTTGCTAGTGTCTAAGCGCTGTTGGTGATGTGGCTGAGGATAACGCAAAACACCTAAACCTCCAGGTTTTTCTTGTGGTAGGTGATGTCTTGGCCAGTCCTCTCCAGGTGCACGGAGGTTGTCTTTCTGCTCAAACATCAGCCGCTCATGCAACAGGAACTCCTACAAAGCAAGAGGCATATCAATACAGTGTCAAGCAGGAATGTAATGAGAAAAGGAAAAACCAACCAAGGGAGTTTGCTCAATGCTGGCACCAGATTCTTAAAGCTAAAATTATAGGCTGGAAATGTATGACAGGCAATATGGGGAAGTCATTTTTAGATCTCAAGTGAAAAGGTTTAAGATGGGGAAAGAAACATTGAGATCAGTTACTTGAGTATACTAACCTGCCTTTCTCGTTCTCTGACAAATTCAACATGCCTCTCATCCAAGGGGTGTAGAGGGTAAGGAGCATCCCTCGGGGGGTGCACCATGTATGGATGAAGAACAGGCACCTCATGTGTCGGGAGAAACATCCTTTTGTATTCACCAGGTCGTGTCATCTTGGACACCATTATGGGGTCACCTCGAACATGAAGCCCATGACTCCTAGGTGGCTCAGATGAGCTTGATGACGGTGCTCCACCAGGTGTGCCATGCCCATGAACAGGGCAGGACCCTGGTTTGTGCTCCTGGTAGAGACCCCGCTGCAGAGGTGCTTCTGCAGTACTTCTTTTTGGCTCTCCTGGGCCACTTTCACTTTCTTTGTCTTTCTTTGCAGACTCGATAGATTCCTAAATATTCAGAGAGGGAATGAATGAAACAATGTTTTGTAGCTCTTTCTGAACAAGAAAATGACTTGTACCCACATGTAACAAAGGAGAGGAATCTGCCAAATTAGAATTTCAAACAAATGGTGATTCTAAGTTGAACTTATTGCTCTGGTCCTGTCTATAACATAACACATACATGTAAGAGCATGGTAAAGATGTAGTAGTAGTGATATGGGGATGATGACAACCATGATGATGATGATGATGATGAGAATTCATCAAGGTTTGAAATATACGTAACTTCCATTGCTTTTCAGTCCTTTAGACCCTAATAGTGCCAGCATCTAATTTCTCCTTACACCAATTCTGCTGAATTATCCATTGAGATAAAGAGAATCAAGGAAATGATTGCTAAGTAATAAACTTGGATTGTTCAACAAATTCTCCATGTCAGTAAACAAAGAAAATGTACAAAGAAGAGTATGAAGAAGATGAATACTTATTGTTGGGTAAAAAGGTTAATTAAATTAGTTCTTCAGGAAATTAACTTATTGATTAACAAAATAAAAGAATGTAATTTCACACCTGCTTCCTAGTTTCACGAGACTCAGGATTGTCCCCTGGCCTTAAATGTGGTGAGTTTTTTCGAACAAATGGATCAACACTTCCCGGAGGTAGATGCCGCGCTGCATCACCAGGATGAGCAATAGGAAGGTCATAAGGCTCTATAAGCACTGAACCATCTGGCAGAATAGAATGACGCTCATGCTGTTGACGTAAATGTTCTGCTGCTCTTTGCTGCCTCCAGGTGCTAAAACGGACATCATGGGGATCCAAAACCTGCAGGGAAACAATTGGGGACATTTCATTCAAATTGTAGATTAATGATATCACAGTGATCATGGTTTTTTTGGTGAAGTTAAATGATATCTAAAGCAATTGACAATGGATCCTTGAATCATTCGCTATACAAATAAACTAGAAAATTTTATTAAATTCAATCTGGTGATATAAAAATTATCACCAGGATGTTGCCAAAAGGATGTCAATCATATTGCTTTGTGTGCTCTCTTTGTCAGTTTCATCAGAGTTTTAGCTTCAGGGAACCTAACTATACAGCTCTACCAACAAAGATATTTTTTCTCTCTCACCAAGGTAACAATCATACACAGACTTGTTCACTAAGTCAAATAATGACCTGTTGATAAATAAGTGGTTCAATGAAAACAGCACCATTTCACTCATTTCCAAAAGTGGAATTTGATTAATTTTCTTTTCATACAAAGAATAATCATGTTCATTTTCATAATCATAATTATCTTACCGCTGGAGGGTATGGTGTTGGATAAAATGCTGGTAACATATGGGCTTCTGGACCATCTCGTTTAGAGGCCAACAAAGGAGGGGGCCCAGGTGGATGGGGCCCTCTTGGGACATATATTGGCAACTCTGGTTTAGCCCCATAAGCAGGATAAAAGGCTACAGGAGCATGAGGAGGTTCTGGGCCAGGGTAGTGCTCTGACAACATGGGTACCTCTGAATGGCCTTAAAAAGATACCAAAGAAGGTAGTTAGGAATAATAGATTATATTAACCATTTTGCTGCATTGGTGGAAATAAAATCTCATATTTTAGTAACATTTAGAACTTATGTGAGAAAAAATAGTGTTCATCTATATAAAAAAAAAAAAGCCATTGCACCCATTGCACTGAACAGATTTAAATGTACATGTACAAGTTAATGCTCTTTTTTATATATTAAAAAAAACACATTTATTTCATGTTTTGGACCTTGAGAAGAATATTGGTCTTAGACAGCTATATAGTTATAGGTCATATATACATATATATATATATATATATTTTTTTTTTCGCATGGTTTTGTTTTTCTTAACATTTTTATTTTTGATCTCTCTAAGATATTAGCTAATGTTAAATAGCTAATAGCTTTGAGAGTAAATAAAAGTTGTGTATGTAAGTATGTGTATAAATGTAAGTATGTATGTAAGTATGTCTATAAAATCCCCTGATGAGTGAGTAATCACGAAACAGGCTTGTAGGGATGAAAGTATAGTCCATTTGCTTTTTCCCCATCTCAATATATAAGTATGTATGTATGTATGTTGAGATCTTTCTGTGACCTAAAAAAATTTCAGGATAAAAAGGAATCCCATAATAAAATTATATCAAGCTAGTCTTAATTTACATTTTTTGTTTAAGGATTAGGGTAATATAAATTATCTTAAACAAAAGAAAACATAAACCAAACAAGTTTAAATAAACTTAGCCTGGAATTACTCTTTAACTGCATCATACACAACATAGATATTATATAATATATATATATATATCAAAGACAAAAATTAAAATTCAGCCAAACATGTGTCTGCTTTCCATAAACAAGTGTAATTGACAAACACACTCTTGTTTTTATTTTAATGCTTCAATAAAGATTATGTCCATATTCCCAAGGAAACCAAGATTTGGCTTTAAACAAAATAAAATTCTGAATCAAGTAAGCCAGGGGTATTATTTCTTATCTTGATGGAATACCCACAAACACCATGTTCTGTGATTCAATCTCAAATATTTCAATATTGAATGTAGAAGATACAAAAGAAGTTATTCCATCAAAATATCCATTTTATTTTGTTTTGTTTCTGGGGAAGCAGAAAAGCCAAAAAGGAGATAAATTCAAGTTTCTGTTTTGATGGATTTGTGCTTTCTTTTCATCACAAAATTTAAATGAAGCATTAAATAAACAGGTTTTCTTAATCTGAATCAACTACTGGTAGATATCTGTTTGTAGATTAAAATGACTTCCCTTTGATCGCTCAAATTAATTGACAGTGAATTGACACAAAATAATTTTTCATCAGAATTGCAACATATATCTTGAAGTGAAAGAGTTTCTTGTAGGAACATTGATAAGTAGCATTATTGTCAATGACCTGCTATTCAAGGCAAATAAAAATGTGTTTTGGTTTCATCTACTTATGAGAAACAAAAGTCTGAACCTCTAAGATCAAAGCTACAATCTTTCAGAAAATCAGAATAGGTTGAAGTTGAATTTAACCCTAAAAGATAACCTGGAAACCTCAAAGAAATACAACACACTATATGATATTTAATGGTTCCAATCCTTTTGATATGAAAACCTTGTGCAATTATAAATAACCCCCTACCCAACAGGAATAAATATTTTTCAAATTTTACACAAACCTGAGTGGGATGTTACCTTGTTTAAACACAAGGAAAATGTTCTCTGCTGTATGTGCCACAGTTCACATGAAAAACCTGGATCAAACCTGACTGAAATCACCTTAAAATGTCTTGAGAAAATCCACCACAATTCACTGATCTTATTAATTATTCAACAACAATGAAAGGCATAAGGTTTGAATTTGTTTGGAGATTTCTACAGTTCTACCTCTTTGTCAATTTGCTAGGCAACTGAAATTTCCACAAGAGGAATGTCTGATTATGAATAGTGAAATCAAAATTTTTTGAACCAATTTCCATGTCCTTTCCAATTCAAAAAACACTGGAGACTTCTTTTGTAATCCACCTCGAGGTGACTCACACCATTTTGTCTCTTGTACAAATAATTCATTAACTTATGCTTTTAAAAAAACTTCTGTGTGATCTGCAACATGAGAATACTGGCAGTACATATTTTGCTTACCCTTGTTGATTAAAAAACTGAAGGACAGGATAAAAGGTCTAGCTGTGCGACATGCTGCAAGACCGCACAGTACTCATGGTTGATGTTATGAAGAGAACATAGTCACATACAGACAGGTGGTTTTGGGTAAATTAAAATAAACAAGGCTAAAAAGTGCAAGGCTTATTATTCAAATAACTCCCTTCCCAACAAGGAAAACAGACAAAATCACTATTAAATCTCCCCATACAGTAGACTCTAGAACACTAAATCTTATTTCAACCAGACACTGAAACAACATGGATTTGCAAAATTAACCAAGATCAGAATTTCCTTGTAATCAAACCATTTTTTTTTTCCTATGTCCTATGCAGTTCAATTCAAATTAAATACACAGTACTTACAGTGCCACCTGGAACACTCTAGAGAGAAAACTAACTACTTGCTTTTGTTTTATAATATCATGGAAGCCCTACCTCTGGGAACTGTAGAAAAGACACCTGGCATCACTTCACGGCCCATGCGAGGGTGGCCAACTTCTGGCCTGTGGGGACCCCTGTTTGATTCACGTGTTTGCTCGCCTTTAAAAGAAAATCAAAGAACACACCATTAACATACTATGTGTTAATGACAATTTTGTTATTGTACAAATTGTTCTATCTACATCTATTATATAATTATCTTGTAGAAATAGCATTATTAAGCTGACAAAACCTCCTGTTTCAAATTAACACAAGTGTGACATTTGTTACTTAATGGGATCACTTGTAATACATTTGCAAATCTTCCTTGTACACAGGAAGAGGGAAGGGCTTGTGGGCATAAAGTTTTTTAAATTTTTTCCTTCTTATCTTCATCACAGGTTGTTTTATTTTTGCAGCACATAAACATTTATGGTGTGTATCAAAAATTTTGTTCCTTTCGAGATCAGTTAAAAGTAAAACTGAAGAACAAAATTAAGTCAAAAGGATTTTCATAACAAATTTACACAGCTGAAATAAAAAAATCATTTTTTACAAAGGCTGTCATTCTAACTTGGATTGGGATATTTGCAGTTTTAATGCTCTGCTCCTGAAGCCTCTGATTTCTTTTTTAAAACAATTTTCTTTTAATAAGGAAATTAAAATCAAACTGGAAAGGGAGTACTGTCTCATATATCTTCATAGTTTGTACCACATGATGCCTTTATTTGTTAAAATTACATTGTATAAAAAGCACACAGGAGGCTAAAGAAAGAAATCTGTGGGAGACATGTTGGTGTAGCAGTTAGCTAGAATGCTTGACTTTTTTGTGTTCTTGGGTAGCACACTTTGTTCTAACATGCTTCTCTTAACTGAGGAGAATAAATAGATCAATATCCCCCTCTAGACAGTACTTTGCTCTACTGAACACAGGATGGGCTTTAACACTTATGGGTCCTTGGCCAAGCAAATTTCGCTTTTCAAAGGAAAAAAATATTCCTTGAATCCCAAAGTGTGATCTGCACAATACTTTACTCAACTAAACACAGGATGGGCTCTAGCACTTAACGGCCCTTGGCCAAGCAAACTTTGCCTTTCAAAGGAAAAAAATAACCCTTGAATCCTAAAGTGTGATCTCAAAAAGAACATTTCACTCTACCTGGCCGGTGATTTCTGAGATCTGGATCCACAACAGGGGCAGATGGAACAGGGGGTGTGCGGACACCAATTACTCCTGGACTTTGATGACCACCTCCTTTATCCTTTGTATTAATTTCTGTTTGTCCTGATGGTGGTGAGGTTCTTGATGGAGACATACCTGATAACAAAGACAGATGATTAACATGTTAACTCTCCCTATGATATTAAGGTATAATCCAGCAATCAGGTAATGAGAATAGAATTGATTAATAAGTTAAACAATTTTAATAAAAATATAGATGAAGAGAGTCAAAACACTAAATTAATGCCAGCCAAAAATTTTAACTTGTTAATTTTTTTTTAAGGAGCCACATTCTATTATTTATTTTGTTTAATTTTTTTCCTAGTTGATTCTAGAAAATACATCAAATAAAGGTGACCTTTATCAGAGAATCTTGTGGCTCTAAATGTTGACAAAATCATTTACCTGTGCTTTTTGTGCTGATAGCAGAGACACTTGGTGAAACAGAATGAGAGCTGCTATCCGATGGAGTGGGAGAAGAGGCTGATGCAGGAACTGGTTTAGCTTGTTTTGCTAGTTTTCTTAGTGCTGCTGCAAAACTAGCTTGACCTCCTGACATTGACGAGTCAGTTGTTGCAGGAGTAGAATCTTTATTGTGTACAACAGGTTGCAATCCAGGTGACAGAGATGTTGTATAGTGCATGGGGGACGCATTTGAACTGTTGGTGCCCAATTTCACTTTCTTGTTTTGCAGCTGGGACGAGCTACCATCACCTTCACTTTCCTCACTGGAGTCAATGACTATGACACGTCCTTGGCTAGATTTATAATCTTTGACTTCACTCTCCAGAGGATTCTAAGAGTTAAAAAAAAAGTAAAGAGACACAAAATGGAATGAGCTCAGCCATCTGACTGTCAAGTATGATTAAAATGTAATTTCTCTTTATTAATTCAATACAATATTAAGCACACAGGTGATCACAATTGATAAACTTCTCAAATTGTAGGTTATTTCTTTTTGAAAATAACACCAGATTCTTAAAGCAGTCCTCACACTGGCAAAATGGGATTTGCATAGTTTTTGGCGAGAACAGTGTTTATGTTTACCCTAATAATGTAAGGAGTTTCAAGACCAAAAACCTGTTTAACCTTTAACCCTTCAGAGTGACTGGTTTCTTATTTCTCCTTACAGGTTCCCCCTCGGATCAAATGCAAAGGTCATAAGAAGAAAGGAAATGATTACCAATTTACAAAGCTCTCAATTGTTAAATGTTTTGTTCGATAATTGTTAAACAAATTCTCGGTGTCAGAATTCCGTGTCAAATTCTCCGTGTCAGAGAACATAGAGAATATATATCGTAAAGAACATAAGGAGAATATGCTTACAAATATTTGGGTGTAAAGGGTTAACAGCAAATCATAGTGTAGCAAATTTCAAAAATAAAATATTTCCTTCCTTCAGACTTGTAGCATGTTATTTTTATTTTGCGGTTCAGTTCCTATGTCAGAACAAACTTGACATTAGACTTTTAATCCTATCATCAAAGTATCCATTCTATGCACTTTCTGCCATACATTTCTCATTAATTTTATTGCTAAGATTTTGTTTTTAAATCAAACAACATAGCCAAGTTGAGATTTTCCTTTCTTCTCATCAGCTTTCTCTAAGAAAATGTATTGGTACTGTGAGAAGTCGCATATTAGTCCCTCCTGGGAGTGAGAAGATTAGTATGTGATCCATACTCTACAAAACCCTTGACTCACGATATGTATGCCAGGGCAAAGAGTTCTCACTTCCTCTCTAGACAGTGATCAATATAGATCTATTTTTCAAACACCAAAATAACATTATTGACAAGCTGCAATGAAAGCCCTGGAGGAAAAGGAAAACCATCATCTTTCACATGTTAGTGGAATAGATAGTTTGTCTAGATCTCAGCTGAAAAAGGCTGACATATCTTTACTAGCAATGTATTAGGGGTCAAGATATTTTTAGACTGGTAAAACTACTTTGAGCAATGAACTGTACAAAGATAAACAGTCACATACGCTGGATGAAGCTTTTGCGCAAACAAAAGAAATTTATACCAAAATAGCAACCTGCCTTAAGGCAGATGTACGACTTGTGATTTATTTGACACAGAAATAAGGCGAGAGTCATGCAGTATAGCTTAACACAGTGCTATTAACTCATGTGGAAATAATCATGCAAATTTATATCTGATTTTCAAACAATAGACAAAAGAAATCTTATATCCATAATTGAAGAAAAGTTCTAATTTTTCTTTCACAGCATCTCCTAAAAATGGATAGATTGCTTTAAAAATACAACTTATCTTGGCCCCAGAAGAGATTTTAACACCTATTTAACTACTTTCAGCTTTTTATGTATGAGATTCACAATATCTTCTTATTGTGAAGACCATTAATTTTGCATCAACATATCGTCTCACACAACAGCTTTCAATCACAACATGTTTTCTCTGCCATCCCTTATAAGATATTGAGGTAATCACATTGATAAATAGTCCTTGGGATAGTAACACAATAATTTCTAGGAAAAGCACAAATGCAACCATGATTCCCCTGCAATAAATACACCTACACTAACCTTTCATGTGTCACAGTGGTCAGGAGAAGGTTGAATGTAACTCAATATGTTTTCATTATTGCAAGCAAAAGTGATCACAAATGATCATTTCCTTATAATGTTCCTTTTGAATTTAATACTGCAGTTGGCTGCTATCAAGATTTATTTTCTAGGTTTTGTGAACAATGAGAGACACACACCATATATCTATAATTTAGAAATTTGCAATTAGAATGATCAGCTTTCCCCAAATAAATTACCAACTACGATGAAGGACAAACAATAGATGAACCTCATGTTGGAAATACCCAAGACATGTGCTTCACAACAACAAATTCTAGAATTAAAAATAATATAACCAATTACACTCCTCACAGGAAGGAAATTCAGCAAATTATTACTAGCAGAAATATTGGAAGCCATTTAAGTCTAAAGACTTGACTTCATGGATGAATTGTTTTTTTTTTTCACATGTGCCATCTTACCCTAAAACAACATCTTGTATAAACTGCCTTTTTCTATTCATTATCCATGAAAGAACTGCTCAGAATTGAAACCTACCTCTGGGAAATGTCTCCTAATTAGAGCATAAGCAGAAAGAATTAATCTTTTCTCATGATAGAGGCTGATTTCTGTCAGTGATTCACTTAATGATATTCAGCAGCTTAATATATGCTGATATAATAACGGCTTGGTGCAAAATTAAAGCCTACAACTCTGGGCACTAATTTTGGCTTGGCTTGATTAGCATAAGCTGCCATATGTCCTCTCCAAACACCAGCTTTAATATGAATTGAAAACGTTTTGAGACAATAATCTCAGTTAATGTCATGCAAAGCATTTTAGCAGGTTTCGTTCTGGTACCTATTGCTTCCCTATTGTTCATAACAACAAAACTTATTCAGTATATCAAATTGTAACCCTGAGAGTCTCATCAGTGATAACTACAGTCGAATTTACCCCAGGGAGAGACTATTTTAGCACTAAAGATCAATATGAACACATCAAAAAATGGTAATACCTTCCTAAAGCCTGATTTTCTTCCTCAAAAAAAACTTCTTGCACTGACAAGCTCAATATTACCTTCTCTCATTAATTATTCATTCATTGTATTGCTTCTTTATTCAGTAGGAGAAGCCAAACTAAACCATGCTCTCTCAAGCTTGTATCAACAAATACAAAGGACTGTTCAAGAAAACTTTTGTATTTCACAAGATTAAACCTAAAACAATAAAACCAGAGCAGAGATACCACATATCCATGAAAAGAAAGCTAGATTCTATCAGAGGCTAGGTGTTGCTTTCTTATTTTACACATGCCACCTGTTCTTCATTGTTCTTTTCATATGCAAATCACTACAATTAACCAACCACATTAACAACCACCTTTATGTTTGCCCGCAAAGGTCTGAAAGAGTACTGAATTCATTATGGTGACTACGTCAGCCAAAACCACTGAGCCAATGACTATTGTGACCTCTAATTAATGGCCACAGCATACAGCAGAGAAATCCTTTGATTTCAAAGTCAAAATTTATCTTGACTAATAAGGAATGCATACAAATATTTTTGTATAATTAGCAGATGAAAGGAGGCACAAAGCTTATCTTTTGATAGCATACAGTTTGGTTTGCTCATTGTGAGTATGTGTTATTCCAATGACAAGTTTTTTTCTATTGTCAAGTCAGCCTGATCTAAGAGCAATAAATTTGCACACAAATGTATTCCTAAATTCAATTACCCAAAATAGTAATTCTTACTCATCCAATAGACTAACAATTCTAAGATTCTTTCAGGTATTTAAATCTAATAAGAATGATTTTGTACCAAATAATTAACTATTTCTATTTACTACAAAAAGAAAATTCTACTTTTCGACTCAATTTTTTGATCAATGTTATTGTCTCAGCACTAATAGTTGAAGCTAATTTAGTTATAAAATGTCGATCAACATAGCTTTTTTTTCTAACTCAGGAAACATTCCACATTGTTAAAAGCATAAAATATATGTGCCGATTAAATAGCTTCTTTAAAGCACAAAAATTTCTACTTGTTGTGTTATGAATCTGATTATAAAAATTTTAAAAAAGGTGTCCAGCTGGAAAAAATAATTTCATCCTCACTAATTTTTGTTTAAATTCAGTCCATCTTGCATAAATATTAGTTGAGCTGAGAATTACACTGTAAATTTAAGAGTAAAAAAAAAAAAGCAATAGAGATTCTTAATACTTATCGCAGAAACAACTAATATGAATGTCTATCCAATTTGACAATTTGCAAAATAAGACAAAGGAAACCAATTTGTATTGAAACTTTCAACACTGTCCTCCCTAGATACTGCTTAATTTCCAAAGGGGAATTTGGTTCAGTTATGAATCAAGGATTTACTTGTTTACATTAATTTTACGTCACAAAATTATTTCAAAACTAATACATATTCTTCTCTTTGTTCTTAAAGCTCAACATCGTTTCTATATGTATTTCTCAACAATTGTCTCCAATTTAAATACAAAGATCACAAAAGTTGACTTAGTAGACCAGTGTTTAACAATAAATAACTGTAATTTTTTAACTCTAGCGAGGCATGATATTTACATTGTCAAACAAGGCACAAGAGCTGTAAGTACACAAATTCAATAAAGTGATAGGTCAGCAAAACATAAATCCCTCCACATGAAGGTCTTGTAAATATAAAATTCAAATCAATTGATGGCTAATCAAATGTCTGTACACAAAATTGACGATAAATGTTGGGGAAAACAAATTATTTGAAAAGTGATTCAATTTGGCAAAGAAAATCCCTACAGAAATGCATATTTCATTTGTAAACTGCAATTGTTGTTTTGTTTTGTTTTGTCTTTTTTTTTTTTTTTTAAGGAGAAAAAATAGTTTTTGAAGTTTACTGCCGAATGTATACTGTCTGGCACTCATCACAAATCTCAAATCTGAGCTTTTTAAAATACTGACGATCTCAAAATTATTGTAAGCTCAACTGAAACATCTACTGAGAATTTTCTAAAAATAAAACTAAAAAATTCATTATGATGATAGTCTATACTACTGTCCTATTTTCTTACAATGTTATGTAATACAAAATATTTCCTCTTTCAACTTTCATTTTTCAATTCTTCTTATCTATTGATAAGAGAAGCTTTCAACTTGATGAAAAAAATCTTCTTTAAAAGGGGTTTGAGAGATTGTAATTTATAAATAATTATTAAATAAATGTAGTTAAAAACATAAAGGTTGATAAGTATTTCAGAAATGATAAATGATTTTTTTCAAAAAGGCAGATTACAGCTTTCTTTAATGTAAAAATACAATACACTTAGCATACGATGCACAGCAGCCATGTGGAATCAATCATATTTGAAAGATATGGTTAAGACTTTTAAGTTGAAGAAAAGGTGAACAGATAAGTTATCAACAAGACCAAGTCCTAGCCCTGCTGGAGAGGATCACCTGAATTACTTTTTTTTTTCCTCAATGTGTTCCTCAACACGCAGGATAACAAACAAGACCTGACAAAATGTTAAATACACTTAACAAAATGCTGTGTTCAAGTTATCTGAGCAAGTCTTACCTTGTCTGCACCTTGATTATCCCATTCCTGCACCATCCTAATTGTTACACCATTAGAATCATCCATTGCTTCCAGGTCTCTTTGAACCTCCCGCTGACAGTTATTGCACAGGACAACATCTCTGCCATTATTTACCAAAATTCCACTTTTTGGTGGCTGGTGATGGGATGGAAACGATATCAACTGCTTATTTACAGCTCCAGATGAGAGCCTTGACACTTGTTTGCAACACAGATAACAGTTTATGGTTGATACCAAATACTTTCGTAGCCATCTGTTGGATTCCTCAGGAATGTCTGAACTTTCATAAGCATTCCACTGCATCATAAGGTTATGGTAACAAATCTCACAAGTAACAGCAGTTCCTTCACCATCTATAGGTTGAGCATTGATAGCAGGTTCTCTAGATGACAGGAAGGGAAAGAATGGACCTCCATCATGAACACCCTTACCACTGTGTGGATAGGAATACAGCTTAAAATGAAGTGTTGAGTTAATACTGAGACCACAAAGAAAACAAACTGCAGAAATCTCTAGATCCTCTGTGATTGCTGGACTTAGTTTAACTGCATAAGAGCGTTCATCCTGAGGTTTTTTGCTTTGCTCAAACTCTTCCCACTCTGACCTCAGTTGTTTGTAGCATTTCTTGCAAAGAAATGTCCGACCCTCTGCGTCCAGGGGTCTGCTATCTTTTGGAGGTGTCAATGATGCTATGAATGGAAAGTAGAAGTTGTCTTTGAGGGGATTGGTGTTTGGTTTAGTGTGAACAGGCCGCCAGTCAGATTCAGAACAATACTGACCACAAGTGTAGCAAGCAATCTTAGCCATTGTCTCGGTCTCTTCTGGTGTACCTCCAGCTGACTGAACCATGACCTCATTACGAATTCTATATTCCCTTTTGTCTTCACAAATCCCAGCAGCTTCAAAGTGTTTCCACTGTCTATGGAGTGATTTACGACAGCCGCTGCAAGCCCTTGTCAACCCTTGTTTTGTTAATGGCATGGCTCCCTCTGGAGTGGGCAGATTGTTAAGAAATGGATAATAGGGGTGTCCTGGTGTATGCTTTCGTGAATACAGAAATCTTCCTGATGTTGCAGGCTGTGTGACTCCACAGACAAAACAAACCATGGTTGACAGCTGAGACTGCTGCTCCCTAGGAAGGGAGGGGTCAGATCTTAATTGGTACTGTCTCTCACTCAATGGAGTGGAATTCTTCTGAAAGACTTGCCATTGACGAAATAAAAACTTTTGACAAGCTTCACAGACAAGAACTTTACCCAGGTAGTCCATTTGCTTTGCGATTGTGGGAGGAACATGTCGTGCAAGACATGGATAAAACGGTGTCTCGGTTTTAAGCTGCGGTCTTGTGTGTACACTTCTCATGAATTCTTTCGGCTTTCTCCTACTACAGATGTAACAAGTTTCAAGGCCTACAGAACGACGAGGAAAAGCATTTAGCGGTGAATTCTCCACCAAAGGATCAGCTGAATCTTCGGAAACCGGATTAACGTTTTCCACGTCTGAAGTGGTGGCAAGAAAATTCCCTTCCGCCGGTTCACTATGAACAGCCGGATACAACTCTGAACTATCGTTATCAAATAAATTCTCTCCTGCCACTGTGATGTTGCTATTGCCAGCTATTGTTTCTTCGCCTCTCGCTAGGTTGTTCTCAACAGGGCTTTGAGGTCTCTCTCCGCTTGAATCAGGACCTGACCTTTTCAGCCAGTAAATTCGCTTTGCAACTGGAGTGGCGCTCTCTTCGAAAGCATGCCATTGTTGAGTGAGAAAGGAAAAACACACCGTACAGGAGTCGACCTGTCCGCTTGTTTTATCGACCGGTCGAGCACCATCGGCAGGCACATGATACTCCAAGAACGGGAAAAACGGCATCTTCTCGGAATTTCGAGATCTACAGTAAAGAGGCCAGTTTGCATTAAACGCTCCACAAATAAAGCATATCAATCCACTGCCACTCGAACTTAAGCTTGGCGCCGAATCGGTAGTCCTTTGATCTTTTACCCCGTTTAATTTAACCATTGCGATCAAATCAACGTACTGTAGCGCCACAGAAAAACCAAGGACCCTGCAGGAGTTTCAGCACATCCTGAAGCCTAATCAGCGCGAACACCGGGGTTCGATTGAGGAAAATGCGATTTTTGAGTAAAAAGTAGTCTCTGCTTTGTGCATGTTGTTGATGTTACCCACTATGCTTTGCCGACTTGTCCACCTGGTTCAGCTGATACAGGCAGGACACGCTACTCAAGGACATCTTCTCAAGGAAGGAAGGAAGAAGAATTTCCTACACACCAATGGGCTTCCAAAACAAGTCCCAGGCAAAAATTGGCGCGTACTATAAGGAGTTAGCGTAAATTACTAGCCACTGATAATCGAATCAAAATTTTGCTATATTTTTCTGAATTGTAATACGTGTCGCTTTCAAAGCGTGTTATCTCCTTTGTTTGACGCCAAAAAGATGATCACGTACGTGTTATACTGATCGGTCTAGGGTCACAGGTCTATTTAAAGAACAAAGGTGACCAATTTAGAATGTTAACAATAGAAAAGCTTTTAACCTCACCTAGCCAGGGAAGGTTACTGAGAATCCCACATTGTCAAAATATTTGTTATGGAAAAAAACCGGACTGATACATGAACGGATTGTTTTAAAATTGTTTTCTTTTCTGTACAATTGTGTCTTATGAACAGTTAAGCACTTCAAATGCTTTCAAAAATTTTGCTTAAATGTTATGACGGAGAACCACTTTAAAGTTGTAAGCATTTCTTCTGAACAATCGCATTTCATTAGGGCTCGAAATGTTCAGTTCCATTGATATGTGCACGTGCTTGACTCTTCCCGGAAGTGGTTAACGATTGAACGATGAGCTATGCTCTGAGCTGCAGATCGAGCCGTTTCTGGTTCGAAACGGAAACGTTTTCATATAATTTGCACAATTATCTGTACATTTAGCTTGTCTTCAAAATGATTTTCGCTTTGACTTTTCGTTATAATCGGTTAGCCGGTCGGAAAAACTCGATTCTTCCCATGAATTGTTTGATCCGATGAGTCTTAATTAGATCCTTGAGAGACACGTGTTACTTAACTAACTATAGAATATGATAATTTTCGATTAGGAGAAGTCAAGAGCTTCTGAGGAGGAACATCAAAAATGAAAGAGAACAATTACCACCACCCTTTTGAACGTATAATCGTTCAACCAAAGGAGGGGGAGGCACTTACGGTTTCTGAGAGATAAACCTATCAACTGGAAAGCTCTTGTTTCACATGAGACTGGAAAAGATCTTTAGAGACTTTTCTCAGCAACAAGGAAGGAACTATTACAGACTCTTGACTCAACATCCCAGTTGCCATTCTCGTCAAAAAATGTTACGTGAATGCTTTGGTATCTTGTGAAGCTGGATTTTTTTGGGTCTATACCAACTCAGTTGTAATTTCTAATCGTAGGAGAATACATGCCATTCCTGATTCATTATCTCTTTGCACGAAAAACTGTACGCTTCAGAATGGAAAAATAACCCATGTAAGGGAAAAAACGCCACATGCCAAGCAGAGCGAAGTGAAAAAAATGTTTACAGTTTCATCCTCTTTCCTACGCTTTTCTCCCGGCCCGTGTGTTCATTCCCTGAATATCTTCTGCGTTTTGTTGTGGGGTTTTCATTTCCACTAGGACAACTTTCGAAAGTAACCACAAACTTATTTCCTTCGTTTTCCATAGTAATGAGGTTGGGGGTTGAGAGAGTGCGTAGCAGCTCAGCGGTATTCGCTAGTTTTGGTATGCTCGATTGTAGCTCCCAAGGCCTTCCAGAAGCTTGATACTTTTTTCGGGCATTAGTTTCACGCTGTTCTCGATTAAAGTCTTCAGAGGGGTGAAATTGTAGAGAAAAGTATGACTTCCAGCGTAGAAAACGATCCAGATGCTTTGAAGATTTGCCCATATGACCCGGTCCACAAAGTGAAGGCAAAGAGATTTCCTTACCATTTGGAGAAATGTCGAAAGGTAAGGAAAAGTAACATCACTGAATTTTTAGCTTTAACCCTTTTGCTGGCAGGTTCCTGGGGACTTCTTGTTTTTGTATGACGTAAGCCGACAAATCAGGCCACAGCTCATCACATTTTAGTTTAACCCCAATAAACTATATATAATTTTAATGAGCAGAAAATTTACAATCATTTCAAGACTATTTTGTTAGATATGGGTCCTTGTGCACAGAATTTGGGGCAAGAAAGGCCGAGCATAACAAAATGTTCCAAGTGTTATTTGTTTTTCCTGCCCTTATAAGACAAGACAATTACATGCTTGTGAGCATTACTTTATATCATGCAAAAGCAGATTATTTCAGAAACCAAACACTTTTTATTCTGTCCAATTATCGTTATTGCAACCAAAGTTATACCTTCTGTTGTAAGTCAAGGTTTGGCTTGGCAATTTTCAAAAATTAGAGGGTATGTGATATAGCACAACTATACTTGAGCAACAACTTGCTAACGTCACTTGAACTCAACCAAATTACTGACCATTGATGGCACAAAGAACTATAAATAGACAATAGGGTAAAAATGGTTCTGTTCTTATAAAAAATTACAATCCATAGCAAACTTCAGAGTTATCAGAATCTGAAGAAGTACAGTGTACCATCCTTTTCAACAAATTCTTCACTGCTCAATTCACTCTCGTGGTGGTTGAAATCTCCTATTCGTTTTCATCAGAAATACTTGACAAAACCTCATTAGGTTCGTCCTCTTACACAGTCCACAGTGTCTCTTCAACTGGAATCCATGCAAACATCATATTTAAAAGGATAGTATTGCATGTGCGATTTTTTTTTGGCAAAAAACAGTTCACATTTGGATGAAAACAGTGAGAAATACGGCTACGAATTAAGAAACGTGACTTGACAAACCATAATAATCTTTACGAAATCAAAACAACACTATGTGAGGGTCCCCTGAGATTTTTAACATGGATAGGGTCAGAGCGTACAAATTCGTATGTTTGCCAGCTAAAGGGTTAAATTGAGCGTAAACATAGGCAATCTAGATTGAACACTCAATTTTTTTCTAAGGTTTAATTTTAATATGCCTACTGTGCATGCATTGTGAAGCATTTCTGCATAACCCCATTCTCATTACAAAGCCTTAATAAAAGGTTATTTTTTTGCCATTGTTGTCTTATAAAAAAAATCCGGATGCACATTATGAAGTATGGGTAATACAGAAATTTTTCAGAGTATTGTTGTAATTTTCCTCATTCTTCAAAGCATGCTGATAGGCAGGGTATGATGTCACTGGCACCTTATTTTATAGTTTTTTAGTGTCTTTTTAAAGTTGTCTAGTGATTGTTTTTCTGCTTAGGGTTGCATTGTTCTGACATTCTCACATTATATAACAAGTTAATTCTCAAAGAAAAATTGTGCACATTATGACCTTGATCAAAAGCCTGATGCACAGTAGTGTAAGTGATAAGACAAAAATGATAATAAAGTATCTTTGTTGAAAATTCAACAGCAATATGCAAGTGCAGGATGGACACAGTGCCCCTTTTTTGCTCGACATGAAATTCGTGTTGAGGAGTTAGAATATCACATTTCCATTTGTGAATACAAGGTATGATGATAGACTTTTCTGTTCAGGTTATTACTGTGAAAGCTTATTTCTTTGGTAAAATTTCTACATAGCCCCATACTATTGTAAAACAAATCTGTTTTCTCAATGGCCGTGTATTGTTTTTGTCATTGTTTTGTCTATCCAAGAACTGAATGCATAATGTGGTATGGGGTTGTGTGGAAATTTTACCATTTCTTTCATCAAAAGGCAGTGTAGTGTTATTTTTCTGATCTGTAACCTGAACAGAACAAAATGTAGGTGTGAGAGGTATCTTATATCTCCCTTCAGTATCACTGTTGAGTCACACACAAAATTCATAAGAATTAAGGATATTATCATTAGCACAGAAGCTCTTCAACATAAAAAAAAATTATCTGTTCAGCAAGAAATGTATAGGGAACAGTATGGAGAGAAGACATACTGATGTTGTAATGTACAAGCAATGGATTTGTGTTGATGAACATGGGAATAGACCAGAAACAGCTCCACATCTGAATAAATAGCCAGTGCTGTTGAATAAGGCCAGAAATTTTGCATAGTAGCTGAATGATTTCCCAATCTCTGAGGCTGGATCAACACTGATATATAATACTATTTAACTGTATTGAAAGAGTTTTTTTTACTTTTCTTGATATTTATTTATTCAGTTGGATAAGAAGTCTGTAAAAGAATAGTATGATCTCTCTGTTTTGACAAGATGGCTCTCACAGTAAAAAGAACTATTATTGATGTAAAATTGTTTTGCTAAATGCTATTTCAGGACATGATCAGACAAGACATTGAGGAAGGTGGGTTCAGAGGACTCCCTTGTTTATCATTTTTCAAAGGCTTGGTTGTTTGTAATCCAGCATACCTATGCAATTTTTTAGAATGTTTTAAAAATAAAAAACTAATTTTATTTCTTAACCAGTGAATTATTGAAGCAACGAATGCCACAAAGAAAAATGGACATTTTCTGTGAGCCTTTTAGTCTGTCACAAGCATGCTTATCCTTAGTTGATCTACAGGTATATTTTATATTACAGTTTACCTTCAGTCAATAGTGGAGGAGAAGAGATTACAACAACCACAGCCAACCCAAGCAGTATTACCTGATGAAACTGAGGATTGGGAAATAGGTATGTTTTGTTAGAGCTTCAATTTTAGACTACAGTCTGGAGCTTTGCTGTCAATTACTCAATTGAATTTCTTGCTTTCTGCAACCAATTAAGTGTCACAGATCTATTATACCTTAGTAGTAGAGAATTCAAAGCTCCAATTCTTTCAGCATGAAATTAGAATCTATTTTTTAAGTACATGTATGCTTGTGTCAGTTACAGGGAAAACATCCTTGCTCTTGATTATTAGACTTGCATTAGATGATCTTCATTTCCATCATTGGGTAATACTAGTGATAACTGCGTTTGAAAAAAGTGAGTAAGTTGTATTGTAGGATAGGTTCTGCAAGATAGCAGCAGAAGAGGGGAGCATAAGTTTCCATGCAAGCTGTACAATGGTGGAATCTATCTTACATTGCCTTCATCTGTTTGAAGGATTATTCTGTCAGACGTGTGACAAATCATCATCAAGTTATCTCACCGAGTTTATTTTGTCTAAAGTGACATTTTAGTCTTAGTAGTGTTAATTTCATGTGGGGAATGTGCTGAATAAAGTTCTTGAATCTCATTGGCTGACATAGAGTGCGCTAACTGCTATGCTTTCATGTATGTGTCCTTTGACCCATCATCAAAATTTGTTTGAATGCTAAAAAAATAAAGGGAAATTTGATCTTGACTAATATTGTCTTTTGTATGTAAATCATCATCTTTGAACATTTAAAAAATCAATCATTTGTATGCATGATTTTTCACCAGTCTCATTTTATTCAAAACTCATAATTTTATCTCTACAAATTTCTTATTTTGAAAGAGTGGTGTAATAATTAGTCATGCAGGCTGTAGAAGAAAGAGAAATGAAATTCATTTCTACCTTGTTTTGTTGATTTTAGACGCTGATAGGCAACCATTTTCAATCCTTGCTCCTGAGCCACAAGCTGACTCTACTGATGGATATGACGTTTTGCAGGTGATTCAAGTTGTACAAGCCCAGGCTCATGCTAAACCTAAACTTATGGAGACCTCAGGGTAAGAGAATTAAATGAAATTTTTATAAACCAGCTCAGCTTCTCCAACTATCAGTTGAGAAAACAGATAAGAAAAACTGGTTGGGGATTCGCTAAAAAGGAAGAAATGGGAGTGCCCCTTAGGCAGTGTGTGAAGTAACATGCTCTGGTATACATTGCACTTGAGTAACTTTCATTCGCAGTCAACATCAGAAACTAACATGCCATAGAGTCAAACCATTTTCCACCAGAAGGAGATTATTTTCTTACAAGTAGTAGTTTTATAAAGTCCTGAAATGTTTTGCTATTTTTTAATGCAGTATGATATGCTACCCATTGTTGTGAAGAGTTAAATTTTGGTACCTTACCTTGTGTATTTCAGTGAGAAATTAGGTATGAATGATTGAACATAGAGAAATTGAAGGGGAACCTGAAAAAAGCCCCAAGTGACATCAGATGGATTGCTGGATTCTCCTTACAAGTTTTCTCAAATTTAACTGTGATAGATAGGGAGAAGTTGCTTCAAAAGTAACATGGGGCTTTTCCACCTGTTACTGAAATGAAATGGGAGAGGGGTGAGGAGAATGAATGATTGTCTTCTTATTATCTTTTAACACATCACTGTAGCATGACAGCCGCACAGAAGAAAAACTTTAAAAGAGCACAGAAAAGACATGAACGACGAGAAGCTGAAAGGTGCACAAATAACATAGATTGAATGAAACTTTCGTAGGTATTTCTTGTAACAGTGAGTGGTAAAAGTTATATCTTCATGGACTGAAACTATAGTAAAAACTGTCTTTTGGCTCTTTGTTTCTCTAACTGGGAGTCATTTTGTGGCTCTGTTACAATCTTGGTAAGTCTTAAATAGAGTTAAATGACAAAATAGAATTACTAATAACTTCTTAAAGGGTTAGATTTGAGCTTTAAAGCATTCTACTTTTTACCAGTATAATAAGCTGTATATTTTGAAAAATTGAATTTTTGTTCATTTATTTTTTCACTGTTTACATCCTGAAATAGTAGAATAGTCAACACCCAACTTGCCAAGTGTCCAATAGGCTGATTTTTAAGTCAAGTATTTCTTCAAAATATATCATATAACTCACAACTTCTAAGTTGCTCAGGTCATGAAAACTAGACATTTAGTCAACCCTTTTAACTCCCAAAATCTGATTGTTGATTCTCCCCTCTTGCTGCTACACATTTCCTATTAAATTGGTCATAGGAATTTGGTGTTAGATCAAGATAACAACTTCTACCTGATAAGTTTGAGTATTCTCATTACCTGTTTACAAAATTCTGCATGAATATAATAGATAGAAGTTACATGTTAATAACCTCTGGGGGTTATAGGGTTAACTTTCTTTAGGTAGCTTTTTCTGTGGGATGGGTTTTCAAACATGCTATGTGATATCTTTTTTTAGGGCCAATCAAGAACCTGAAATGACAAATGAAGAGAGGGTACAGGCCTTAGCAAAACAGTACAGTTTACTTAGCACTTCAGGTGAGCCTGCTGTTTGGTAAAGTGAAGACTTAAAGTTGGCAACTTATGTCTAAGATGAGCTTTACAAAGTAAGTTCGTCCTTCTGTGTTTCTTATTTTTTCCAGGTAGTTTCATTGACTTTGTCAGTATCCTGAATCTATACTGTCAAAAAAACAAAATCAATCTACCCAAATACAGTGAAGCACCTGGAGTTGATGGAGGCTTTGGGGCACAATGTTTTGTGAAGGGTCAGATATTTAAATCCATGAAGTACTGTTCAACTAAGAAAGAAGCGCGTCATGATGCTGCCATGCATGCTGTGCTGGGTCTCAACATTCCTGTGGGTAAGAGACCTTGGTCAATGTCTTGTGTAGCTTCTGCTTTAAAGTTTCATCATAATGTCATTTTGGATTGTGCTGCCTTAATTTTTCAAATAAAGGTAAAAGAGGCCATGTATGGTAAATGGGAAAATCAGTTCTGAACCAACAGTTGAAACACTTAAATTTGTGTCTTTATTGTTAACTTAGATTTTTGTCAGAAGATAAAGGGAGTAAGTTTTTAAAGAAACTGTATTGCAGTGTCAGGGAAGAGTATAAGAGGGTAATTTAGTGTTATCAACTGAGTTGGAAATGTAAATTGGCCACCACCATAAAGAGCTGACATTTCGGCCACCACCATAAAGGCTGACATTTCAAGTGTTAGCTAATGCTTGAAACACTCAAAACGTCAGCCTTTAAAATCTTTACGGGGGCCAATTTAATTTTTCATCTCTTGATAACACTAAATTACTTTTTATTTGTATTTTTGGTTTTTTAGTAGGTTACTCTAAAATAATGCTATTGCCTTCTTGTGTCAAGTTAAATTTAAGTTGTACCTCAAGCATTGGCAACTAAAGGTGACATGAGTAATGAAGAAAAACTGTTGTGCACAATGAGTAGTTGAACAAACTTCTAATAATTTTGTGTCAAATGATAAGTGTTGGATACAATAACATGTGTTGGGTCTAATTGCATGTCATGAATAAATTTTGATTACCCCATAATGGTTTAATTTTGTTATGATCATGATAATGGCAATGTGTCTATCATCTTCAATTTTGTCACTTCGTGATTCTTAAAAAAGAACAAAATAATGTACAGATGGTATCAAAAAGAACTGTAACCCTTGGTTATGGAAATATTATGGGTTGAATGATTGTTTTTCAACTGTATTTGGGTCAATAACTTGAAATGTGGATTACAAGAATTGGGCTCTAACTGCATAACTGACTGGTGGTTTTCTGATAGCTGAGATAATTTTTCTGATATGGATAAATTTAAATATTGATTATTTTACATTGAAAGCCACTTTCTATTAACTTTTTAACCAGTTGACCCAACACCCAACAAACCGATGGCTGTAAGAAGTGCCACTGACCATCAGAAGCTCAGAGAAACTCATGAGTTACAGCTTCTAAAAGAGGCAGGGCAGGCACCACCCAAAGGGAGGGGCAGACCAACTGTGCAGCAGTCTGTGCGTTCCTTTTCCACCCAAGCTACTGGTCCACCCATGTCACAGCAACCACCACAGAATATGGCAGCTAATAGGTTTACTGAGGTAACACAATTGCAGTTGCCAGTTGTTTGGAAAGGAGTTCCCATACTAGCTTCTTACTACCATTTTGCAGCATGCCATGATGTTTTACAACTTTTGTGACAGTCATTGATATAATAATTATTAATTATTTATCTTTCTTCATTTTACAAGTGAGTGGAATGTATATAAATTATGTTTCAAAAAACCTGGGCTAAAAATGGCCAAGCTTACCAATGCATTCTATGCCCCTCAGTTAATAGTGTCAGGCTGCTAAATATGAATGTCTAAGGTTCTATTTTTTCATAGGGAACTCTTTTTTGTTTGTTTGTTTGTTTTTTGTTTTTGCTTTTGTTTTTTTTGTTTTTTTGCTTTTCCCATGTCTGTGACAAAAAGGTAACTTCCTTAAGTAAAAAACCAGTATTGCATCATTTCCTCAGTTATTGCTTCTTGGTCACTTATAAGACCTCTTGTTGTCATGAAAATAATAATTTGGAAATTTTTAGGTTACTGGGCTAACAGAAGGAACAGAAAATGATAAGTGGACAACCATAGGTGGGAAAGGTAGGTCAACTCTTGGACCCCTAAGAGTGATTAGCATCTAATTTCTCCATACAATATCACCCCTGAATCACACATTAAGGTAACAAGAATGAAGGAAATGATCACCTGGTAAAGAAACTCTTGATTGTTAAACAAATCCTCCTTATCATCACCTAAGAAAAATATGTGATAACAGTCTGGAGAATATGCATACTGATGTTATGGTGTGAGACAAGGCCATTATTAACAATAAGAAATCATCAAGCTTTAAGGTTGGAATTGGATCACACAGCTTTAGGCTTGGCCTAGGTTTTGGAATATGTAGTGACTGTTTCTCATCAGATCTACTCTCTCTGTGAGAGAATGCAGCCAAGTTTCCTGGAAAGTTTACCACTCCTTGTTTTACTCCATGGGCTTATAGTTCAGACAGGAGTGAGCTGTTATCCTGGAATAAGAGACAAGTGAAAACTTAATTCTTCATTTTGTCTTTATTCAGGAATGGTCATTGATCTACTGAACTTCTAATGACTTTCACTTTTGGTTTTGTTCATTTTTTTCATTCATCTGTTTATGGCAGGGTTGAAGAATCCAGTCTATCAGCATTCCCTTAAAATGGCAGGGCGCGGAAGGGGTATGTCAAGGCGGTGACAAATATCAACTATGGCATCTCATTGGCAGAGACTGAAATCCTGAGCAACGGATTCTTCTGTCCTCCCTTCAATAACTGTTGTTTCGACTAGGGAGTAAGGTTGTAGTTCCTTGATCTGTCATGCATTATTCCCACAATTCTCTCAAGGTGGGTGTGCTAGACCTTTGTTCCACTAGAAAAGAAGATTAAAGATATTTGTCATGCATTATTCCCACAATTCTCCAAGGTGGGTGTGCTAGACCTTTGTTCCACTAGAAAGATTGCCTCCACTTTGAGAGATTCCCCAGAGATAAGTTAGGGCAAGCTGTGTTAAAAGCCCTTCTGTTGTGTTATTTAAATAAGATAGTTGCCAATAAGTACTGAAGTTGGTAATCTCTGTTGCATATAAGGTTAGAACAGTTTTTAGCATTTTTTTCTCAAGTATGGAAAATTTTTTATTTTAGGGTATATAAAGATTTGACAATGATAATTTTTAAGTAATGGGACAAAGGGCAAAATTCTGTTTTCTGTTTAAACAATAGAAAGAAAACTAATTTTTATGAGAGAAATCTTTTTATGTCAGATATGTAAGAAAGCATGACTGAAGGTCTACAGGTTTTTCCAAAAGTAATTTGAAAAGAGTTTAATCATAGAATAGTCCAGTTCAATTCAGAAAATTGTCCAAATGCCCATATTCATAAATACTGATATGCTAACAGCTTTGGGGTCATTTAATTTCATTCAGATCAATATATGAAATAATTTCAGTTTAATTTTATACTTGTTGAGTTTGAGTATTGATAAACAATGAGAGTATCCTTATTTAGTATTTTAGAAATTGAACAAATAACCGAAGTGTTTGTAAATAAAATTTTTTTTACTGCTTGTTATTTCTGAATTTTGTTTAAAATCGTTGTTTATTGAAGGGAAACCATCAAGGGATAAATGATGCAGATTTCAAGGGGAAAAGAAAAAAAAAGTAGAAAAGGAACAAGGACAGAAAAGGATTGAAAAGATAAGCACAGATTGGGAAACAAAAACAAACAAAAACATTTATCCTGAAATACACACACACTTTCAAGTGTGCAAAAAGTTTAGGAAAGAGTCTAATATGGATACACAGCTCCACAAACACTTCACATCCAAAAAAGGAATTGCTTTGTTTTAATTGTCAAAACAAATCTAATTGTTGATGATAGCAACATGACAATTTTATCATATCAAAAAGATTCCCAAACATGGCTTTCCTATAGGGATTGATCCTCTCTTCTGACACAAAGCCACTTGCTCCCATCACTACTTGGAAAGTGCCAAGTATCTCCTGTTGTTTGAACATGTACACGGCGGTCAAATCTCCTCACACTCTACAAGAATAAGATAGGATGAATAATTGTGCCACTATACAAAACTGGAGAATGTGACAATGTTAGGGCTGTGATAATTGGGTTACATGCATTTAATCATCAACAAGATAAGTTTTGTCTCCAGTGATATCTGGAAAAACTTAGCTGTACTAAGCAGCAGACAGAAAATTACGAGTTTCATTTTTATTAACCCTTTAACCCCTAAGAGTGACTGCCATTTAATTTCTCCTTACAATACCAGCCCTGAATCAAACATTGGGGTCATGAGAATAAGGGAAATGATCAACAACCAAAGAAGTCTTGACTGTTAAACAAATTCTCCTTTTCAGACCCTTAAGAAATGTATAGAGAACAGTGTCAGGGTCTAAAGGGTTAAATTACAGTATAAAATGGCCAATTATTTGGTGATCAGTTTAAAAAGGCCAGAAATGAGAGATTCACAATAAGTTTATCTAGTCAACTTGAGGCTCACAACTAAATTAATTATTATTATGCAATTTAATAAACCCTTATTGAGCAGAGATCCTTTTTTAAGCAGATACTGATGTGAATTCTGCAACTGTCAGATTAAAACAAGGTTCACTGTAGACCCCTCTAAAACTAGTACATACCTCAAACAAGGGTTGTTCACCCACAAAACTGGCCAACTTCACTTGATACAGCTCTTGCCATCTGGTGAACTGGGCTTTCATCAGTGACTCCATACCTTGCAGATGGTTAGAGAACATGTCTGAGGAGACAAGTAGGGTGCCTGGGCCACACTGCATAGCAGCACTAAGAAGATAGACATCATCTAATGCCCTGAAGATTGAATTGTGTATGATTACAAAAACAATCTTAAAAGTGTTAAATATATGTGTATTTACATGACTGTTGCTCTGCTCATCAGCATTACAACATGTCCTTGCTAGATGCTTCTGAAGACTCAACCCTTGATTCTTAATTCTGAAAAATCAACTTGAAACTCAAGCTTTGAAACTTGAGACTTGCGAGGAATCTAGGGTCAAATTTCAAGTCAAGGATGTCAATTTACATTTGAGTGACAGTGTATATCTAGGTACTGTTTCTTTATAGAGCCTCCCTAAACATTTTCAAGATGACTGAGGAGACCTGCAAGAGCATATACAACCACAATCAAGTAATCAAAATCATTGGGATATACTGCAGGTATTTCTCACAAGCACTATAATTGAAGAACAACAAAAGTAGGAGATGAGTTACCTTGCTGCCAAACAGAAAACACCACAATGTACTCTCAGAAAATCCATTACTGAAGGGAGTGAATTTTGGTCATGTCTTCTAATGTGACCCAGTGAAATTGGCCATGAACCCACAACCAAAACCCTCTTTTTCTGCTTCAGAAAATGTTCAGCCACAGCTTTCAACTGCATAAATAAGGACAAATCAATATAAGTACCCATCCAAAGTAAAACTCTTTTAAAATAAAGAGACATGATAGCCCTATGGTTAACACACAAAAGGAAACATTTTTTCTTTCCCATCAGTATACTGTGTTTTGCTACCAAGATTAGGAGACAAGGGCACAGGAACACTGTGAGGAATGCTAGAAATGCTAACCATCCCCTCCCCTCACTACCCTACAAGGCAACCAAAACAACCTACTCACAGGCACACAACAGATAAAAAATACATTGAATGTACCTTTTTAGCATCAAAATGATGATAGTAATAAGCTAAATTGAGTCCATCCAAAACTACGTCATAGTGTCCTGTTGTCTCTATAAACCTGACCACACTGTTAGGAAATCTGTTAGAATGTCCTGGTCGGATGTAATCCACATACTTTCCAGCAGTAGTGTGACAACGCACTTCTGAGAGAACTTTGCGATTCCTCAACACATGCGAGATAAGAGGGTCCTTCAACTCATGCAGTTCTTCTTCAGTAAAGTTCCCAGTTTCTAGTTTTTGCTTGCAGGCTTGGCAGTGGTATCTGAAAAAGAAACAAACCAAAAATAAGCCATTGAACGCCAAAGGTTCAGAAAACCTTACACTGACCTTACTTTTGACATTTGTTGAAAAATAATCGGCACATGTCCATGATCAATGAAATGAAACATGCACATTTTGCATGGGACAGTTTTACAAGTATATTATAGTGTGGCCACATTTGATAAATACATTGGCAAAACAGGAAGATGACTGGGTGACCAATTTCAAGAACACCTTTGTTATGTAGAAAGAAATGACAAGGATGCATCCAAACCAGTCGCTAGACACTGTAATCTCTCTAATCATTCCAAGCAGCATATAGCAGTTTGTGGCCTTTCCTACATCTAGGCAGTTGGGAAAGCTGCGATCTTTCAAATCGGCACTCTTGATGCTCATAGTATCAACAAGGGCTTTTCATTCAACTAATTTATTCCTGTTTTCAAGTCACCATATTCCCCCCAATAACATAGCTCCACTTTCTGTATATAAACACACACACAAACCCACAATCCCTACAATCACTCTGACAAAGGGTTATCATCAAAACATCAGCTTTTAAACTCTTTATGGTGACCAATTTACATTATCAACTCAGTTGATAATACTAAATTATTCTGAAAAAATACAGAGTTGCTGAATTTAAACTTCAGACTTGTAAATTTTATTTCCCTTTGACTTAAGGTATAATAATGAATGACAAGATCCTCAAAATAATAGAAAACAAAGTTTACACCATAAAAAAATATTATGAAAATTTACTTACGTTGCTGATGGAGAAGACCAAGCTGTCACCCATTTTGGGTCCTTTAGACTGAAAAGTGTAATGGAAAGGTTAAAGGTTAATTAAGAACTATCACCCTTTGACCTCTAGGAGTAACCAACATCTAATTTTTTCCTTACAATATCAACCCTGAATCACACTTAAGCTCACAAGAGTAGAAGAAAAGATCTGCTGCACAAATTTCTTGTTAGCACTTGAAGAAATACATAGAGAACAGTAGGGATCCAAGGATAACCATGTTGTAAATGATCCTGTCTTTGACCCTTTACACCCTAAGATCAGTATCCATATTCTCTATACTCTTCTCTACATGTTTCTTTTGGTACCTACTAGGAGAATTCATTTGAGGATCAAAGCCTCTTAGGTTGGCAATCATTTCCTTTATTCTCATTATGGATGGTTAAGTGGTATCACTAGGGAGAAATAAGATTCTGGCCACTCTTAGGGTTTAACAGGTTAAAAATTTATCCAAAACAGAAGAATTAAGTCTCCTATTCTTCCACCCAAATTAAATACCTAGACAGATAAAATTATGAAAGCATCACCTCTAGTGAGCTCAAAATCAGTAAATAACCTACCCCTTCACCCCCCAATCTTTCAGTGTATCTGACAATTAACCCTTAAACTCCTGTGAGTGACCAAGACAGAATTTTTCCTTACCGCATCTATACAATACAAGCAGACAAGTGATGATAATAATGAAAAATATAAATTATGGGATTACTAATTGATTTGATACCGAATTCTCCAAACTAACAAAATGAGAATCATTTAGCAGACAGTAAGGAGAATTTCTAATGAGATCTTGGGAGTTAAAGGGTTAACCTTTCCACTACTCTATTGAAAGGGAAGATTATTTTCTGAGGGGTTATGATTTAAAGAACAGTGGACTTCATTGGGCTGGAATGGTATATCAGTTTATTAGGGATATGACTGTTCACTTATTTTTGAATGAATTCTTGGACTTGATGATTCCTGAGCCAACGAAATGCCTGCCTATTTCTACCATTTTTGTATGTAAAAACTCTGTCATTTCTTGCAAAATGCCCCAATAAAGTAAAGATGGGTCACTAAGTCTGGGGGGCAAACCAGCTAAGTTGGGGGCAAACTCTTTTTATGTTTGAATGCAATCTCGCAAAGGTGATTGGGGGCAAACTAAGGAGGCAAATTCACCAGTTACAACTAAGTTCACACGAATGACATTGCTCTGTCTTTCTTTACCTGTCAAACCATAGTTTGATTGTCTCCAGAGCCTCAATGCTCAGCAAGTCTCGATATCTTCGAATGTCGTAAAACAATTCCAACACTTTATTCTTTAACTGCTTACTCACTTTGCCCACACAAGCTCGAACAACTGTTATATAGATATCCACGATTCGTTCATGAAGTACCCCAGAGTGACGCAAATCATCCAAACATCGAAATGCATCCATTGGATCTCCTTTGTTGGCTTCCATCTCCACAAAAGGTTTAAAATGGCGAGCTCTGGGAGTTAGACCGTCCTTTAGCATTTCATCAAACAAGCTTTTCATAGAATGTTTGGGATGATTGGACTTCGAGTACAAATTGGCAAGAACAGAATAAGTTGAGTGACTTTTCGGGATATTAAGTTGTTCCATGAGAGTTTTCAGTTCAAAAGCTGCGTCGATTTTGTCATAATGAACCAGGCAGTTTAGTGAATAATCTAGAGCTTTTATCATATGCTGTTCAGGAAGAATAATAAATTGATTAAACATCTCTAAAACTTCATTTGGTGCACTCAATGTCTCACAAAACGGTCGAATGTTCTT